TGAATAATATATCTGACTTGAGACTCTGTGTTTAGAACTTCTCGTCCAGAATGGCTGCAATAGATTACACTGTCTGTCTCCACAGTGAGGTATTTGTGACTACACAAGGTGGAAACTTTCCTCATTTCCTCATGGGTCATCGGAGATATTTGTTTGGAGGACATTCCAAGACCATTAGACCGGACAAGCGAAAGTTAGCAATCCTCTTTGACAATCCCAACATCGGGTACTTATTTCTTCTACTCTACATCTTCGGTAAACCCTACCGAAGCTCCACGTTTTACTTACCATACCAGTGTTTCTCCTGAGCTTTGTGTGTAGTGCAAACCTGAAACCCCGTTTCTGTGTCATGACTTATTGCTGAAACGTAGTTTCTGTTAATTGCGCAGATGGCGGAGTTTTAAACGTCAGATGCTAAACATGAGGTCTCATAGTGACTCAAAGGGTTTTGAGCTGAAACGTCCTAATGACTCCATTTACACATTTCCTTGTCCTGACTGCATGTCCCGTAGGAACAAAACAACAACCACAGATTCCAGACCACCTCCTGCCACCTGAATGCACACTATTGATCACCGGCCTTCCAGAATCCGCTGCTAAAGGCTGTGTTCATTCCTTGTAATTCTAATTCTTTCAAGTCAAACAGGACTTAGTGACTCAGCCTGCCCAGAATTTTAGGGAGACCACGTTTGGAGGGGCCGTTGAATCGTCTATTTATCTCCAGTAAGGTTTGCAGAGGAGTAACAGCCACGACATTTGTTTGATACTTTTGACACATTGAAGCTGACGTATCTAACAGGACTACAGGAGCGACGAAATTTGAAGTTTTTAACTCATTCCCTAGCTGCTGCTGGGCAAAGAAAATAGGACAGCATTTGGATTTTGGTTATTTGTTTTTTTGGGCGTGTTTTGCGGTTTGAAGCGTTTGCGTTTTGTACATTTTATAAACGCAGGCGTCAAGAGTCTTTTTTGTGTTAGGAGATATGTAGAGACGGACAGAAGAAGCTGACCGAAAAGTTTTGTACATTGATTTGGTTAGAGACTGACATTGTCTTATGTTTTTTTTTTTTGGGTTTAAATTCTTTGAGATAGGGGTTTTAGATTGTTTCATCATATATTCTTATGATTCTTTCGAGTTGAATCTTGTGTGTATTTGATAAAATAATTTTCAATATTGATTTGATTCTTCCTTTTTTGTTTTTGCTCCTCTGATTCGTTCTTGTTGGAGTATAATTTTCGAATCTAGTGAAGATGATAGAACTGAATACGTTAAGTTCACTCATATGCTTTAAGCCTAAACTTCAAAAAAAATATAAGTTTGTTACGATCCTACATAACACACGCCACTTAGGCACGTAAGAGTGTCCCTCTGTGCACGTGGGACAAGCATGTTTCGCCACGAATGGTGCGCGCGCGTGGGGAAAAGGTCTCACAACTAATTGGAGATTTGTTTCCTTTCGTTGTCTTTTGTGTTTTGACCTTCTCTGTTTTTTTGGGTTATCAGATAAAATTCGTTTCCCCACACACAAAGGATTTTGAAGTTCACGAAGTCAATTTCCCGACGAAATCTATTACCGGAGGAGGAGAACCACCGCGTTATGGGAATCACCGGAAGTTTAAGTCCAGATCAGCTCGAGTTTTTTCATTCGCAAGGTTTGGTTTTTGTTTCCCTGGTATCTCTGATTAGTGAAGAAGTGAATTAATGATTTATCGTATTCAATAAAAAGGGTATTTGGTAATCGAGTCGTTCGCGAGTGAGGATGAGATTAGAGGCTTAAGGAAGAGGATGGATGAGTTGCTCAATCAGTTTGATTGTTCTGTATCCTCTATTTTCTCCACTAAAAATCAGGTTTTTATTTCTCTAATATATACCAAAAGAATCATCTTCTTATGTTCTTTTTCTAATATAGACCAAAAGAGTTCTGCTTAAAATCTGATGGTGTTGTTATTATTGTAGAAGCAGACCACCGATAACTACTTCTTTGAGAGCGCTGAGAAAATCTCCTTCTTCTTTGAAGGTAATCTTGATTATCTTCTTGCCGGTTTTGATGTTGATGTATGTATGCAAATGCTCTGTTTTTGGATATTTGTACAAGTAATAAATGTAACTAGTTATATCTTCATCCCTAAATTTACAGACTTGCTCTGAATATGCCACTAAAGTCTCATCTCTTGTTTAATACTATTGAACATGAACCTTAAAATGCAATCTTATGCCACTTCTTTTGATACGGGAATCTTTGGTCATCTCTTATTATGACTTTTTTAGGATGATGCAACTCTCTCGTATATTCTTGATTGATTGTTAATTGATATCGTCATGTGTTTTTGTAAAACATCTATAAGCTCAGATAGTCTTGTGTTTGAATCTCAGAAAAAGCTTTTGGTGATGATGGGATATTGAAGCAACCGAAAGAGCTTTCTATAAACAAAGTTGGGCATGGTAACTATCTCTTCTTTTCACTTATAAAATTATTTTCCTGCTGCGTAGAGAAAGTACGGCTCACAGATGTTTGTTGTTGCAGCACTGCATGAGCTCGACCCATTGTATAGGGAATTCACATATTCGTCAAAGTTTTCAAGTTTGGTATCATCCTTAGGTTACAAGAGACCAGTAGTCATGCAGTCCATGTACATTTTCAAGGTACATCTAGACTTTTGCTTGTTTCTTCTTTGTATCTTTTAAAACTTTGATCAATGGAAATGGCTGGCTGCTGTAAATCGATGTGTTCACACTTTATGCTGACTGTTCTTAAGAATTAGGAACTGAGATTCTCATAGAATATGCAAATGTTCAACAGTTGAGTAGGCAGATCATCACTAAACCCTTGTCATTATCCGTACCTCTTTTGGAACATTGAGTTTTTTTAAGCTTTTCGGTCTTACTTGGTGTGAACCTTTCACTATGCAATTTAATGATTTGGACTATTGGTTGTACTAGCAACCTGGAATTGGAGGCGAAGTTGTGCCGCACCAAGATAATTCTTTTGTGTACACGGATCCACAGAGTTGTACTGGTCTCTGGATTGCTTTAGAAGATTCTACAACAGTAAATGGTTGTCTTTGGGCAATTCCTGGATCTCACAAGAGTAGGTTTTTTTCCTCTATTGACTTGTGTTCTCTTTGATCTTCATAGTTTTTGCTTAGCTAGACAGTCTTTTTTCATCCGCAACTTCATTTCAGATGGTCTAGTTAGAAGGTTTATCCGGGGTGAAAATGGTGTAACCTTTGATCAGCCATCCCCATCTTACGAGCAGAAAGATTTTGTGCCTATAGAAATGAAAGCAGGCTCATTGATTGCTATACATGGTAATCTAATCCACCAAAGGTAATTTTCATCTTTTATATGATGTAGCTTACTCTTAGTTTAGATTTGGCTGAGTTCTGAAAAATCATGATCTATATGTTTTTTATGTGGACTTTGTGTATGCAGTTTCGAGAATCTATCCCCGAAGTCAAGACATGCCTACAGCTTACATGTAGTAGAATCTGATGGCTGTAAATGGGCAAAAGACAACTGGTATGTCTTTATTTAAGTTTTTTTCAATTCATACCAAGTCTTTTCTGTCTTTTCTTCGTTTGATGTCCCATGGAATGTTATATATGCTAGGATACAAAGAGAAACAATGCCGGAACCTCTCTATGGTCTTCCCTGATTCAAGCTAGTCGTTGTGAGTTACTACTGTTAATCAAGTTTCTTTTACAATGATCAACCCACGACCTATTGTGAGAACTATACGAGTAATAGGAACATAGCTAAAAGGGCCATCTTGTGTCATTCGCTTGTTGGAATACAATTTGTTTCTTCTTGGTCTCTGTAGTTCTGTCTTTATATAACTAAACTCTCATCAGTGGTCAATAAAGTATGACAGTGGTTACTTGATGTTTCTGTGCATTCACAGTAATTACACATTGAAGAAAGTCATAAGAAGAAGTTAGGACCCGTAAACATTTTAAGACTTGGGGGTAGAGGAAAGAGTGACCATTGGATACAACTTTCTTTCTTTATTTGTAACTGTCAAGCTGTGTGAAATGTTAATGTAATTGGAGGAATGGGACAAAAGTATCTCTGTCCTATCGTAAATGTACCATGGCAAAAAAAGAAAACGTGGGACAGATCTTTTAGGTGCAGAAACAAGAGAATCAATTAAAGGGTTATGGCCAAAGTGATAAATGCTTTGTGTAGTTGTCTTCAGGGAGTGATATTCATCATCTGTCTTAAAAAGACAATTTTTCAATGATCTTTAAGTACAAATTCAGGATTTTGCACAAGAGCCACCCTTGGAAAACTATAGACATTATTAATAGATAAATAGATTTCATGTGATTTAAGACCTTTGGAACATCTTTTGTTTTGATGTTAAGCACATATGTATTGGATAAACTAGTCGATCCTTTGTATCTCTATTAAATTTCACAGAACAAATGAGAAATGGGAACACATTAAAGATCTTTTTGTCTTCATTCCATCAAAACTGAAATGTCAGTCTAGTGTCCCCAACTGTACGCACTTTTTTGATAATAAACCGCACATTTGCTATATTCACTGAAATAACCTAAAGGAATTCTAAAGACAGTGCAATGTCAGCATCGGATGTCTCTCTCAGAGAGTCAGTCCCATATGAATTGCAGTGGAATTAAGAAGAGAAGAAGATGAGCAACCAACCATGTGAATACGGAGAAAACATCTAATTAATATATATATATATTCCTTTCATAGACAAAGGAACCATCGAAGCTTTCACTTTCATACGTATACATAGATAGTTTGAAGCTCCAAACCCCAAGCCCCAACATGGTCCAGCTTCACGTTTAGGTAATAAACAATAATAATAATCTTCAAAAACTTCGCAACATTTACTACACGTCTCCATCTTTCAAACTCGTCTCTTCTATCTATAAGGAAGACATCACTTACCATTTGTGGACAAAACAACAAATGAAACTTCATTAAATCCCCTTGGGGTCCTATTTATTACTCACACATGGGTTTTGGTTTTTCAGTTCTTGAGAGGCAAGAACTCGTAGTAGAAACAGTAGTTACAACAACACACTTGGTTCATCATCTTCTCTTTAAACCGGCTGGTTTTCTCTTGGTTCTGATCTAGAACCGGGAAGAGATTTAAAGTTCGGATCTCCCTCGTTTCGACCTCTCGGCCTGGTTCGTCTTGATCAGTTATGGACGAAGTAACAAGATTTCTCCACGTGATGATGTCTTTACCACCCTCCGATGCCCTCTCAGATACTTCTGTCGTCGTCCCATCATCTTCATTATTACCATTGTTGTCTTTATTGTAACTCAAAGGAACTAATAATTCATGCTGGGAATAAAATAACAAATTAAAGCAAATCAATTCTTTAGCGCCGAGCATATATATTATATATACACATGATTAAATTAATAAAGATACCTGTGGCTGTGCGTCTGAGTGTGGAAAAGATAAGCAGCTCTTCGTCCGATCAACTCGATAACCACCTGTAAATGTAATTGCCACACGTTACATAATCTCCTAAACTAACATTCACTATACAACTTATAACTTTTTTGAAACACAAAACAACTTATAAGTATATTTCCATCAAATTCTTAAGTAGCCAAACATTACATCACCTTTAAACCAATAAAAATGTATATATCATATCTTATAAGTATATTGGTTGATAAAAGAATCGATATATGTAAATACCTGATGATGAATCCTTGACGTCTTGATGTGGTTCACGACCACTAATGTTAATAGCAACTCCTTCACGACGGCGTCGTTTCTGTCTCTCTCTTGCCTTGTGATTCTGAAACCAATAGAAAACGTTCTTCCCTTCGATTCTGCCATATTTACGGAGCTTGGATGCTATCTTCTGGATCTGTTCTGTCGTCGGCGTCCGTGTTCCGCTCTTGTAAAGCTCTTCTAGCGTCGTGATCTGCTCCGGCGTTGGATTCCATCTCGAAGTCGCCACCGCCGCAGTAACGTTACTTTTCCCCTCATCGTGTTCTCCTGAGGAGGCAGGGATGAGCTGATGCTGATCGTCGCCGTTAATATCGCCTGAAAACACTATAAAGTATCAACAACATATGTACACATTGATTTTTTCATTCAAGTGTCTATATATATATAAAGAGAGGTAGTAATGATCATTATGGTACAGTGTGTGAGAAGAAGATGAGATTGAGTAGTAGTAGAGAGGGGCATATAGTTGACGAGGTTGTTGTCGGAGACGTAGCCCATGCTTGCTATCTAGGAATGCTTGATATATCAAAGACAAGTTTATTTTAAAATAAAAATAGTTTATTTTGTTGTTGCTGTGGAATTCTGAACCTTTATGATTTGGCTAGGGGAAAAGGGATTTGAGAGAGCAATGCTTGAGTTTCAGTGCTGTGTGAAAATGAATGATGAGAGGTTTGCTTGTGATGCAAGAGAGATCAAAAGGCTACTGGAGTAGAGATTGTTTCTTGGGTCTACCATACTTTGCCTCTTGTCTTGTTTTTATAGATAAACCACAACTCTTTATGCACGCATATGTATGCCTTTTGATTTTCAAGAGCATTGTAGGCTTAGTCCAAAAGATTTGGGCCACTTTTAACAGAATCGACAACTAAGTCCAATAGACAGGAGTGGGTCGAGCATTTTTTTTGGGGTGAATTGCAAGTAATTTTTAAGGGTTATTTGAGCGTATATTACCAAATCGAATAAAAGAATTAAGAATATAGCACAGTAAAATTTCAAAAGAAAGAGTGATGTTGGTAGACGTGTCGTCACTCGTCAGGTGGTGGTGGTGGTGGATGACTAACAGATAGAGGAGGAGAGTGGTGGTTCAAAAATAAGTTGATGAAGAGATAGATGAGGAAACAGAGTCAATAAAATTAAAAATAAAAAAATTAGAAAGAGGATATGTGTTTTTATGTGTAATAAGGCACAAAAAAAGCTCAACAAGTGCTAATCTTATTGCTATACTGTTTTTACCTTTTTGTCAAGATAATAATTGTAAATATTGAAAAACCAAACTCTTCGTTTATATGATTTTTGCAGTTTAGCAACAAAAAAAAATAAAATCCAAATGAGAGTAATACAATACCAAACTGAGCCCAAATAGGCGAATGTGGCTCGAGCTAGCTGTTTCACTTGATTAAATAGAATGGATCAAACAAGCCTAGTTATAGTGGAACGACTAGTTTTCAGCCCATCCATTAAATCCAACTAATAGAGAAATATCTAAGTATGAGATAGGGAATAGAAAGAAAAGAGTTGTAAAGGATATGGGAGATGGGGAATGTGTGGGTAGTTGAATAAATCAGTAGAGCTCCTTAAATCTCACCATTTATGGCCCCCCCCCCCCCACTGTGCAAAAACATTCATTCCACCACATGCAATCCAACAAACCTCTCTATGAGGAGGATATTCCTCTTTTAACCACAATGGACCCAAAATTAAAAATTATTCTATACAAAATAGTCATAATCTTCATCAAACAGTTTCATTTTAGTATCTGCCTTAACCATTTGGTATTAAATTTGGTTGTGTTTTAAAAAAATTGTGTATTGAAGTCTATCATACCTTGAGAAAATAGAAAGAAAATAATCCGTGAGTGAATAGTTGTAAAAAAAGTAGTATTCATATGAGCATTAATTAGGTTTGTACGTATGTAAATATAAAAATTTCTCCAAAAAAGAGAGAAAAATAAATAATAATTATAGAGATGAGGAGGTCCTTGGGGACAAGCATCCCCATCGAGAGAACCGTATGCATTAAGTTCATTTTATCAATTCAAACGAAACAAAAATTATTAAAGCTAAAACCATCCATCAATGAATAATGGCCTACTGTCATAAATTGTATCTTTTCCCCCCACATTCACAATAATCATTTAGCATATTGTACGTTTGAGCTAGTTTTTAGATTTGGACACTAAATTATATATAGTATTCCAGCTTATACTACTACTACTTATCAAGATTGAATGAGTTCATATATCCAAGTGGGTTTGAGCTAGCTAGATTTGGATACTACTTCCAATATGTATGTATTCGTGCTTACTAATTATACAATTTTTGACTGTAAAGTGTATCTACTTAGTATACATGATTAGACGACTGAATGCTTAATGAACCACCTAAAAATATATGTGTATTATTTATTATTCAAACTATATAGCCTACCATCTTCTTATTCCTCACTTTTGATACATAGGAAATAAAATTCCATAACAATGAGCTCATCATTATAAATTAAATAGTCATAAAAATGCATGAGTTTCACCAAATTTCAAGTTTTTTGGTTCTCCTTTTTTCAGGAGCGAAGGAGGAGTCAACACTCAACACTCAACATCTTCCATGTTCTCATTTCTAAAATTTAACATTTAAAAATACACACAAATACAATATGTAGTTTACGATTACTCTTTGGACACATTCAACATCGATCTAAAGAACATAAATATACTATATGGTTAAACAACGATATACTATAAGGTTAAATAACAATAATTAATTAGTTATCACAAAAAGACAACCTTCTTTTTCTGCATAGAACATGATCCTTCGAAGAAATCCATGCATTCGAATCTTCAACCCTATTTTTTCTTTCCTCTTCTATTATATAAATTAAAATTTCTATAAATAAAAAAACTAATTTTACTTAAATAAAAACAAATCTATATGCAATGGATCTTGAAGGAGGTCTTGTTGATTAAAAGAGTTACAACAACTGATGAGAAACAAGATCATTGACTCTTAGCCTCCGATTAAACAAGGGCTAAGGATAATGATCCATATCTCATTCTCATACTCACTAAAACAACAAAAACATTAAAAACACTACAAAAGAAGTAGCTGAAGAGATCGATCTTCTATTTTCATACGTTTCGACGCAGAGAGAGAGAGAGAGAGAGAGAGATTGAAGAGAATCTCCTCGAGGCAATTTGTTGGAGGTCGAAGAGAGAGAGACCAGAAACACGTGTTGTTTAATAGTTGTTCAGTTGTGAAGAGGATTTGGACCTGTGTGAACTAATCTCTTGTCGTCTTTATAAACGTCATCTCTGTTTTCTTCTTCTCGACGTGGACCCGTGAACGACACTGATGCTTTCGGACCTCGAAACGACGATGTTTCATGGAAAGGACCAGCCTTTCTCGGTGCTGATGGGTAGGATTGGTGATGGTGATGATGATGTTGATCAGGAGATAGAGCTGCTGATGATGAAGACAGACCAAAACGAGCAAATATCAAGATTCCCCAGAAGAACACGGTGGAGGTGTTTGTGAGTCTTCGTCTTCTCCTACTTCTTCTTCTTTGGTCTTGCTCGGCTCCCACACAAGCTTCCATGGCGGGTTTGATTTGATTGAAAAGAGAAGCTTTTTATGGTTAGAAGCCCATGAGAGAGAGGTAGTGAAAACAGAGTAATCTGAGTTTGTATCTCTCTCTGTTTTCTTGCGACAGAAATTTATTTTTACTTTTTGTCTGTGTCTGGGAGGGCAGAGCAGGTTTTGGATTCAAGAAATTGATGAGAAAAGTGGGTTTTTTTTTTTGAGTAAAATTATAGTAATAATATTTGTTGAAAAGAAAGTGAGTAGTTTGAGTAGTGGTAAGAGGATAAACCCAAAAGACAAAACACTTTCTTTTGTTTTGAGTGAAGTCTAAGTAACAAAAAAGGTTTGTATGAGTCTCTTTGGATAATGAGAAAGAAAGAAAGAAGAAGTAGGAAGGGGAGAAGATGAAAATATCTTTTTTATTTGACGGAATTAGCTTTCTTTGTTGTTTATTGTAAAGCTTATTAGTTTTTTCATGATCTTATGGGTCTTATCAAACGATCTTGACCCTTGATTCCTGGGAGAACCTTCTCACATTTGTACTACTCATCAGATTTTTTAAATTTCGTTTGAAACTCTCTCTCTCTCTCTCCCTGCTTAAATTTCTTTATTTTTTACCTATTAATGAAAATTTACGATACTGCCATGTTGCTTGGAGATGGTGCAGTGGACAGTTCAGTATTAATAGCCGTTGTCCCCGGGAAAAAAAATAAAACGAATTTATGTTTTCAGAGAGAGAGAAAGGGAGTATTTTTGACTGTGAAATCAAATCGATGTTAATGTAGAAAAGTGTTTTTACTAATAAAAGCAAGTGTGCTTTTTAGTGGAGAGGTTTACCTTAGTTTTGCTAAATGGACTCCCAAAAGAAAAGAAGAAAGATACCGTTGTTGCAGTGCAGAGTCTTTTTGCTTCGAATGTCTTGACGACAAGTGAGATAGCCTCTGTTCTCTGTTTTGTCTCCATCTCTCTCTCTCTCTGTCTTTCACTTCACGAGAATTTCTATTTCTTGCTTCTTCCATGTCCCTGCTTTTCAACTCTCAGAGAAAACCATAAACAGAGGCAAACTCAGTTTTTTTTTTTGACTCAGTGTCAATAGCCATCTAATGACTGACATAAACATTCAATTCGTAATTCACACATTTGACCCTTCTTTATCTCCTGCAGAAAGGCATGGAAGTAGTTCAATTTCAGCTATCTTTACATCACAAGAGATACGCAATGCACGATCTGGAATATACTAAGAAAGTTACAAAACACATTAATTGGCTAAAACGTTAGGCAGGCAAGGATCTACAAAAATTAATGAGAAATTAAAGATCAAACAAGCGTTAATGATATGGAATTATGTACAGATTGACTTAGCTAGCTACCTACCTTATTCAGTAGAGTCTCTCTGTTTCAGGCTTCTGACTGGTGCAGATAATGAAACAAAAAGCTTCCAAGATTTGTTACCATATACAAATTTAGTGGATCAAGAACTTGGTTTTGCATCAACTCGTCTTCTGAATCTATTTCAGAGCATCAGATATCTTCCAAATCTGTGAATGCATTTTCTCATCAGATCCCTCTTAATAATCAGAACATCAATAAGTGAAGTCACCAGAACTCTCCACAAGAGCAAACACCATTCCTGAAGTGGTGAAACCTATTCTTGTCTCTCATGATGATCTCTGTCGAAGTAAGCCTGGAAACAAACTTGGAAAACACGTGGCAATCATCACAGGTTCTCAAGTTCTTCATTACCCGTATAGGATGTCCCGCTCTCCCAATAATGAGTCCAAATGCAATAGCGAGCTTCTCACTGTGATGGCTGAGAGAAGATTCCTTTTCCTCCATTTCCACATCATGAAACACCGACCCCGTCTCAGGAACATACCCCATGTTCCGTATCTTCTTCAAGATTTCATCCAATTTCTCGTATATTGCCTTTGTTTGCGGATGCGATTTGTCTCCTCTATTGAAAAAATGGACTTTACCTTTAAACTCAACGGAACTGTAAGCAGCAACCTTTTTAGTGCCCAGCTTCCTCATTTTACTCCTTACTTTGTCAACACAATCCCATTTACCAGCAGCTGCATAGATATTAGACAGTAGTACGTGGTATGAACCAATATCAGGAACTGTTTCTACAAGAACGTCTGCCACTTTCTGCCCCAATATCATATCATGATGAACTGCACAAGCACCCAACAAAGCTCCCCAGATACCGGTATCTGGTTCCACTGGCATCTTTTTAATAAATTCATAAGCTTCCTCTAGAAGACCAGAGCGTCCCAAGAGATCAACCATACATGCATAATGCTCTTTTCTCGGCTCAAGATTTTTATCATTCGATCGAACCATGAGACGGAAATAACTTTTTCCTTCGTTCACTAGTCCAGCATGGCTACAAGCAGAGAGGAGCCCGAGACAGGTCACATAGTTAGGTTTAAGTCCCTCATTTTGCATCATAGTGAACAATGCCAAGGCTTCTCCACTATCTCCATTCATTGCATATCCTACGATCATAGTGCTCCATGAAACTACATTCCTTTGTTTCATTTCGTCGAATAATACCCTTGCAGCTTCGGTGTTACCACACTTCAAGTGCATATCAAGCCTTGCATTTTCGACTATTATGTTACAATCAATCTCTTCTTTCCTCGCGCGATCATAAATTTCTTCTCCAATCTCTAAAGAGCCTAGCTGACCACAAGCAGAAAGCATACTCACGACTGTAAAAGAATCAAACTGAACTGCAGCCGCACACATCTTGTGGTAATACTCAAGAGCTATAGCGGAGTTCCCCGTCTGAACACAAGCAGCAATAAAGGCATTCCAAGCCACTACATCTTTGACTTGCATTGACTCAAACAACAACTCCGCTGAGCTCAATTCACCAAACTTCATGTACATCATCACCAACTCAGTTGCAACGATCCCAAGACACTCAAAACCATTTTTCAACACATGGGCGTGAAGGGCAGATCCACAGGGGAAAAACCCCAGCTGGGAGATCGCCTTCACCACAAACGGGTAAGTGAACTCATCAGGGCGGACACCAAGATCACGCATTTTCTTATACAGCAGGACGCTTTCAAAAGGGAGGTGGTTTTTAACGTACCCTTTGAAAAGAGAGTTCCAAAGGAAGATCCTCGGCTTGTGCATTTCGTCGAACAGCTGGCGTGCGTAACACATGTCACCTAAAAGAACAAGATTCTCTAACAGCTGGGTTAAGAGGCTGTTCTTTTCAGAGAAACCCGTCCTTAGTACAATCGCATGGATCTTCTTAAGCTGATTCGGTTTGGAAGAACTTGCCCGTAGAAGCTCTGAGAGCATTTGTTTTGTTAATGGCGTTTGTTTCGGAAGCATCTCTTCTTGCCGCCGTGATCGTAAATTTCAATTATCTTAAAATGTTGTAATACACAACAACAGTACAGTACTCTCTGATTTTCATAAAGCCCAATTTATACAAGAAAAGGCCCAATAGAGTAAGCCCAATAGTACTAGAAAATAATTATATTTGTATTTGTTCAAGAATGGTTCGCTAATAATAATCAGCGTGCTGGTGATGGATCTAGAGATTATGAAATTGTCTGGTATTCATCACAATAAATTTATTTTTTTTGCAAACCATTCATTAAAATAAACTATTTTGAAGGAATTTTTTTTTTAAATTAGTTTAAATGTTAAATTTATTTTACGTGAAACATGTTGAATTTATAACACCAAACTGACAGATCCGAAAGAAATCTTAAGGACTGCATGCAAAGTTCGGTTTGTTTACGACATTTTAAACTAATTTTTAAGTTTTCTATAGAAAATCATTTTTATTCATTTCTTTTTTGAAAATTTTAGTTAAAGAAAAAATTATTTTGAAAAAGAAAATAAAACTCTTTAAAAATTAGTTCAAATATTAAATTTATTTTACGCGAAAACATATTATAACACCAAACTTAAAATAATATGATTTCGCGTAAAATAAATTTAATGACTGGATGCATAAGCTCGGCTTGTTCTCCAAGTATTAAATTTAACTATTTAAATTAATTTATTTTAAGTTTTATATAGAAAATCATTTATTCTTTCTTTCTTTTTTGAAAATTTTAGTTAAGAAAACTATATTTTGTAAAAATAAAAAAAAATCTTTAAAATTAGTTAAATTTTGTTAAATTTATTTTACGTGAAAACATGTTTAACTTATAACACCAATCTGACGGACCAAAAGAAATCTTAAGGACTGGATGCATAAGGTCGGCTTGTTCTCCACGTATTAAAACTAACTATTTAAACTAATTTATTTAAAGTTTTATATAGAAAATCATTTATTGTTTCTTTCTTTTTTGAAAATTTTAGTTAAGAAAACTATATTTTGTAAAAATAAAAAAATCTTTAAAATTAGTTAAATTGTTAAATTTATTTTACGTAAAAACATGTTGAACTTATAACACCAAACTGACGGAACAAAAGAAATCTTAAGGACCGGATGTATAAGCTCGGCTTGTTCTCCAAGTATTAAATTTAACTATTTAAACTAATTTATTTTAAGTTTTATATAGAAAATCATTTATTCTTTCTTTCTTTTTTGAAAATTTAAGTTAAGAAAACTATATTTTGTAAAAATTAAAAAAAATCTTTAAAATTAGTTAAATTTTGTTAAATTTATTTTACGTAAAAACATGTTGAACTTATAACACCAAACTGACGGACGAAAAGAAATCTTAAGGACTGGATGCATAAGCTCGGCTTGTTCTCCACGTATTAAATTTAACTATTTAAACTAATTTATTTTAAGTTTTATATAGAAAATCATTTATTCTTTCTTTCTTTTTTGAAAATTTAAGTTAAGAATACTATATTTTGTAAAAATAAAAAAATCTTTAAAATTAGTTAAATTGTTAAATTTATTTTACGTAAAAACATGTTGAACTTATAACACCAAACTGACGGATCAAAAGAAATCTTAAGAACTGTATGCATAAGCTCGGCTTGTTCTCCAAGTATTAAATTTAACTATTTAAACTAATTTATTTTAAGTTTTATATAGAAAATCATTTATTCTTTCTTTCTTTTTTGAAAATTTAAGTTAAGAAAACTATATTTTGTAAAAATAAAAAAAAATCTTTAAAATTAGTTAAATTTTGTTAAATTTATTTTACGTAAAAACATGTTGAACTTATAACACCAAACTGACGGACGAAAAGAAATCTTAAGGACTGGATGCATAAGCTCGGCTTGTTCTCCACGTATTAAATTTAACTATTTAAACTAATTTATTTTAAGTTTTATATAGAAAATCATTTATTCTTTCTTTCTTTTTTGAAAATTTAAGTTAAGAAAACTATATTTTGTAAAAATAAAAAAAAATCTTTAAAATTAGTTAAATTTTGTTAAATTTATTTTACGTAAAAACATGTTGAACTTATAACATCAAACTGACGGACCAAAAGAAATCTTAAGGACTGGATGCATAAGCTCGGCTTGTTCTCCACGTATTAAAATTAACTATTTAAACTAATTTATTTTAAGTTTTATATAGAAAATCATTTATTCTTTCTTTCTTTTTTGAAAATTTAAGTTAAGAAAACTATATTTTGTAAAAATAAAAAAAAATCTTTAAAATTAGTTAAATTTTGTTAAATTTATTTTACGTAAAAACATGTTGAACTTATAACATCAAACTGACGGACCAAAAGAAATCTTAAGGACTGGATGCATAAGCTCGGCTTGTTCTCCACGTATTAAAATTAACTATTTAAACTAATTTATTTTAAGTTTTATATAGAAAATCATTTATTCTTTCTTTCTTTTTTGAAAATTTTAGTTAAGAAAACTATATTTTGTAAAAATAAAAAAAAAATCTTTAAAACTAGTTAAATTGTTAAATTTATTTTACGTAAAAACATGTTGAACTTATAACATCAAACTGACGGAGCAAAAGAAATCTTAAGGACTGGATGCATAAGCTCGGTTTGTTCTCGACGAATTTCAAATTAAAAAATTTTAAACCAATTTTAAATTTAATATAAGAAAAAATATTAATTTATTTTTAAAATTTTAGTTAAAAAATTGTTTTGAAAAAAGAAAAAATAAACTCAAAAAAAAATTAGTTCAAGTGTTAAATGTTTTGAAGTAAAAATATGTTGAATTTATAACACCAATTTGTTCTTGACTTATTAAATTTAACAATTTTAACTCATTTTTTAAGTTTAATATAGAAAATATATATTTAATTATTCTAGAAAGGGAAATAAAGAAAGTAATACCTGGGTTGGACTTAGAGTAGGGAAGAGGCCCACACAGCAAAGCCCACGACCAAGGCCGGGCGTAAGCTCACCGCATTGCAGTTCCCTCGCGATATCCACCACTTACGAAACCGGTGAGATCTTCTTTCCTCTAATAAAGGAAAAAAATGGAAACTTAAGACAGAAATTTAAATAAATAAAAAACAATAAATAATATCAAAAGGAATTGAAGAAAAAGTTACAAAACCTTGTGGTTCATCGACGAAACAGTGAGACACTTTTGTTTTTTTTTTTATCTTGATCATCGTCTGAGGTGAATGATTCGATTTGTGTAGTGTGCTGATCAGAATCATGGAAACCTTGTTAGCTACTCGTCGCTTTCACTGGTCCCAATCTCTTCCGATCATAAGAGCCGGACTGTACTGAAGATAGTAAACCATTCTTGGTTGGCTCAAGAAAGAGAGAGGATGGGAGAGAAATCATTCAATAACCACGAAACTAAAATGATGAAATGAACTCACGGCTTGCTTTACTTCAATGTCGGATCTTGATGATTCTCTGTTTTCTGAGAAGAGAAAACTTGGTTTATTACAAAACCGAAAAAAGATGAATGGATTTATAGATTATGTGTTTTGGTTCTCTTTTTTCGAACAAAAAGAGTAGTAGTAAATAAGAAAAAGAAGCAGAATATTTTGGTTTGGTTGTTTCCTCTTCTTGGACGAGTTTGGTTTATTTTCTTTCCTTTTATATGATTTGGGTTATCAACGGTCACTTTTACTTTTCACTGCTCACAAGTTACAACGGTCAAATTTATATATCAAAGAGGTGAGAGGACATGAGACAGGTGAGATATCAACTCGTTTCCCCTCACGTCGAAAAAGAATAGTGTTACTACAACGGGATTACAGCTACAATATCAAAAATTGAATAATTAAACATATTCGTTGACAGAAAAAAAAACAAAAAAAAAAAAACATGTTCTGATTCTCGGCTCCATTCTCCTCTAGCTCTTAATTTCATTTCATATATATTAGTACGATTTTTTTTATTTTTTTTTTGTTATTACGGTAAGAACATAATACCGATAAGAAGAAACAATACTTAAAAAAATTTGACGAGTAAAAGAAGAAACCTAATACTAAGGTATTGTGAGATGATATATGAAGTTATAAAAATTATACCGATAAGATGAACACAACATGATGTTCATAAATAAATTTATTGTTTATTGTCTACAAAAAGTATTTTTCTTCTCAGGGAATACTTTTTTATTATATTTCCTTCCTTCCGATGGGACAGTGGTAGCGTGGAAAACGTTTGGCCAATAAAAGCTTCTTCGTCTTTTGTTTGATTTGAGATCTCTCTGATTTAAAAAAAAATAATAATTTGCCAATTATCTTTTAATTAATTTGTTTACAGGCAAGCCGATCATATACCTTGGACTTGGAAAATAATTATTAAAAAAAAAGGTCAGTTAAGTTGTATTGTCTCCAACTAAATGTCGTTTCAATCTCAAGTGAAATAGGAACCAAAACCAAATCGCAAACACACATTGATCAGTTATATAGTTAGTGACTCTTTAATTTACGTCTCACCAATATTAGAAGATGTTAATTAGTCAATAGAGGTATTACTTGCACCTCTTATCGTATTCATTCATAATTATAGACAGTCCCTCTGGTCCATGTTTGAGCTTCAAACTCATCATCCTAGAAAGAGGCTACCAACACCAAATCAGCTCTTAAACCAACCTCAATCTCGGACAGAATGTTTTTGTTCCTTTTACATCGGATCGGATCAAACACCAGTTAAGTTAGTTTGACCAAGTCACCCATCACCCCCTCTAAAATATTAAATAATTCTATTCGCTCACAGGTTTCTCAAAACATCATTTTTGAAATTAAATAAGGGTCATTTTCAACCAGGTTTCCGATCGGTTCACCTATTTTTCTCTTTTGTAGGAAAGACGATAGTGATTGTTACCGGCTTCATTAAAAATGTATACAATATGATTGATTAGGTTTGATTATGATTTTCTAGGATTGTAATAATATCATTTTTCTTTTATTTTTGACGACCGTTTCAATTTCAAGTGAAGGTGTTATTGATACTGTCTATGTCCCGAATATCTTTCTGTTTCATGATAAGAATTTGATAAACGTGAATCACTACACAATTCAATTAACCGTGACATTTTAACCCGTTTTGGCACAGTCAATTAATCAAGACAGGCTGATGTGTTTTTTACTTTTTAACCGTGGCATTCTCTATATAAACGAATGAGAACATAAGCTAAAGTATTCATCCACCAAATTAAGAAACAAACAAACACACACCTTTCTACACCCGCTACTCAAAGAAGAGAGAGAGAGATGGCAACCTCGGGTACATATGTGACGGAGGTTCCACTGAAAGGATCAGCGGAGAAACATTACAAGCGCTGGAGGAGTGAGAACCACCTCTTCCCGGACGCCGTCGGCCACCACATCCAAGGTGTCACCATCCACGACGGCGAATGGGACTCTCATGGAGCTATCAAGATTTGGAACTACACCTGCGGTAAACAAATTAAAAATACACTTGACTCACGTCTAGAAAACTAGGGTTTTGGAAATATTAATACTCGTAGAGTATAGTATCTATAGTGGTACCAATTAATTTGTCACAAAAGAATCCATATTTATAAAACGGTTTGAGCATATATATGTAAACTCATCATCTCATATGCGATATATGCTTGGTACTGACTTATGAATATAATTAACAATATGAAGATGGGAAAGAGGAGGTGTTCAAGGAGAGGAGAGAGATAGACGATGAGAACATGGCGGTAACGTTCAGAGGACTGGAAGGTCACGTGATGGAGCAGCTCAAAGTGTATGACGTCATCTTTCAGTTCATCCAGAAGTCGCCTGAAGACATCATCTGCAAGGTCACTATGATCTGGGAGAAGCAAAACGATGACATGCCTGAGCCCAGCAACTACATGAAGTTCGTCAAGAGCCTCGCTGCTGACATGGACGATCACGTTCTCAAAACCTGAATCCCTTTCACAGTTTCATCATCTTCATCATCAATCATCAATCATCATCTTCATCGTCAATCATCAATCATCATCTTCATCTTCTTTTGTTTTCGTGTATCATGTATCTTTGTATGGTGTCTTCGATACAAATAAATGGCGGTTCGCATATGTATGGTTTCATCTACTGTTGTTGTAATATGCTTTGATGTTGTTCAGTATGGTCGAGGTTTCATGTATGTTCATCATCTATAAATGTATCCATGTTAATTAATTAATGATTTTAAAGAGTAATTAATCAATCAAAATATTATCCTTTTTAGGGTAATTGCACTATATATACTCGCTTCCACAAGGCGCACATTAAGTAGATACAATTTTTAATTAGTGGTTGTAATTAATCATCATTTGTATGTTCATTTCGTGGCTGTAATTCATATATATACAGTATTAGTGATTGGATGATTATTCATATATATTACGTAGCTGTCTCTGTTTTATTTATTTATTTAGTATAGACAGCATTAATTATTCGTGAGTAGTACTGAATCATTGTTAATTGGTCGGTATACATGCAAAGTAATAAATATCAGTACGTATAGTTGTAGTATAATGAATAGAGAAATGAGATATATATAGATGAATTTAAAAAGGTTGTAGTTGGTACTATTACAGAGTGATCAAAGAAAGCCACCGTTGACAATATCGACCGTATCTTCATAAGTTGGACGTTCGGATCGGTAGTCCTGGCGGACAAAATCATATCGATTAATTAATTACGACCGATTTTTTTATTTATTAAGTCTATACTATTTCTTATGTGTTAGTGACAATGACAGAGGTATTTTATGCATTTGGCGAAACCTAATACGTACTTATCATCGTATTGTATGATTAAGAACCTGGAAAACGTGAGTTGTATGATTTACAACACAATCGAAATTAGCAGTAAATATTAACCGAACGTATTGAGTTTATACGATTCTAAATATATTTATACATATTTATTTGTAAATTATGTCTGTCCTCGATCTACTTGACAACACAAATATATATATGAGATGAGACGATGATTATACATTATTATAGCAAAGCACTAACGAAGACTTTTAAAGATATTTGGAATATTACATTGAGATATGACTGTGAAACTATTGATTTGGTAAATATTAAGTTCGAAAGAATATTTTCTCTTGTAATTAGGAGACTTTGTTATTTTGAAAGGAAAAGTACATATGGTTACATCATCACATATATAAGATAAAAAGTCTCTAGATACATATTTTAGAAAGTTAAAAGATAGAGAAGGATTTGTAATCGTTTGACAAATTTGGTGTGAGAAAAGAGGTGAGAGTCTATATATTACAAGGTGATAATTTTCATTTGAATTCACAAGTTAACATGCAACCTTTCGAATACATGGAACCTTTTGCAAGTTAACCAGCTTTCTGAAATTTATTGATTCACTGAAAGCAAATTTAGAGACATGGAGCTTTTTCTAAGTCTCTCTAGTTATTTTTCTTTAAAATGTTGTATTCTCAAATGCTCTTCCTTGTTCACTCTTCTCTTCCTTAATTTTTTTTTATCATTAAATATACAATATTAGTTTTAACTATTTCTGACAAACATTTTAATTTAACGTTAAAGAAATATTGGTTTAGAAAATTACCGCCAATATTCTAGAAATGCCACAAATTTTAAGTTTAGAAAATGATGAACTCTTAAATTTAGCAAAAGTTCATCATTTTTCTAAATTTTAGATTTTCATGTGGTAATTTCGGAAATTTTGGATCCTAATAATGATTTTTGAGATAGAACATTTTGTTTTAAAATTGTATTCATTAAAAAGTTGTAGAAGTCACATTTGTTTAACTTTGTATATATTAGAACAATGATAGGACCCATCATGTTGTAGAAGTCACATTTGTTTAACTTTGTATATATTAGAACAATGATAGGACCCATCATGTTGATCCCTAATCATCTCCAACAACATTATCATCTTCATTACCATCATCACCATAATCATCATCTTCAACATGATCATCATAGCCATCACATCACCACTATCATGATCACTATCACCATCACCCACTTTATATCATGATCATCATCACCAGTATCATCCGCATATGTTAGTTATGTTACAATTGTTTTATGTGGTGATCATTAATTATCTTGACTATAGTATGACTGTATTAGTGGAGTTGTTCTTTTCAATATTTCAATGTTTGATTAATAACCCATTATTCTAGATCAATAAACAGTACTTATTTTGTTATTAGTATTGCTTTACGAGGAAGTTCTAGAATTCTTTGAACTTCATAATTTTCTTCGGCATCATGAGATCAACATGTGTAAACTATAAATCATCAAAACTAAAGTTTCGGACATATCTCCGAAACCAAGTTATGTCGAAAGCAACCTCCAATGAAAGCCACTTAAACTACGTACTTGACTTACCATTGGTACCCACAAACCGGACTCAAACGTAGTAAAGCTTAAAAGCCATTGAAGAAAAATCAAAGGGTGCTCTCTTTCCATCATCTAAATAAAATAAAAATATGATTTTCTTGGACATTCTTTTAATATTAATTAATTATTTGCAGGACCATGTGCATATATATACTTTTTGTTGCCTACAACAGGACCATGTACATGTATATAGATGCAGAGTTAAGCTCATTATTCCATATTTTTGTACATAATTTTGAATTAGAGTTGATGACCATGTCGGAGAAATAGACAACTGTATATAGTATAGATCAATCTAATTCAATAAATGAAATGTTCAGGGTAGCTGGGTGCATTATCTTGATTAAACATGTTCGTACAGTTAGTTAAACCTATTTATATATATGCATTCAATATAGCAATGTTCCATTGGCCCATGAAGATGAAGAGATATGACAAATGCAAAAATACTTGACCCTACGAACGAAGCCAATGAAGCTACTATAGAGAGAGAAACCATAATTTGCGTCACATCCCATCCCATGAAAAATATATTGTTGGTGGTGTTTTTAATGGGTCGTATAGATTAAGAATGGTCCATTAATAATGAAGTTCATAAGAATTTAGCCCACCTTAAATACCTCATACATGCGTCGTCATAAACGAAATGAACATGGCAAAATTACAAAACTAGAGAATCCAATCCAAGACAAAGGGCGAAAAAAAAAAAAAAAGCAAAAAGATATTCAAATGAACAAATACAAAATAAAAGTCTCAAATTTTCCAGCTTTTCTTCTTGATCATGCCATTGAAAATGGTCGTAATTAAAGAAAACATACATAATTGCTTGCTTATACATATATATATCGAAACAACAACAGATGGGATACAAAAACACACACACCAAAAAAAAAGGAACATTAGTTTTAAGTAGAGGAAGAGCCACCTTTGGAAGAGGAAGCGATGCCTCTGCAACCAGCACCTTCATGCCATTCAAGCATGATTTCAAGCTCGCCGCACTCGACATTGTTAAGTCTAAGGATCATGTCTTGAGTGATCTTACCGTTGTTCCAAACAATGCTACTCTCATCTGATAAACAATTGTGCCTTGATGGTTGAACCCTTTTGATGGCACATCCATTGGGTAGCCTCAAAAGCTCCATCCCCATTTTCAGAGAATCCAAGTATGGTTGAATGTCTATGTTTGCATCTCCCATTTTGTCATCTCCTGTGAACTTGTCCCAGTCAAACACTGTCTGAACCATTTTCAACAAACAACAGCAGAACAAAGTTATCCCCCACAAAACAGAACAGAACAAGATAAGTCTTTCTGTCTGAACCAAAACCCATAGTGAATGTTATTACCAAGCGAATTGGGACATTGGGATCTTTGATAGCAACAGTCATTTCTTCGTTCCATACTGGATTACAATTTCGTTTCACCACTCGTGTCTTCAATGTCTGAACATTTCGTTTTGCATTTTTGTATTAGAAAAAAAAAAAAAAAAACAGAGGATTTGGAAGATTCACACAAATGACAGGAAATCAAGTGACGATCACCATATGAACAATTCAGTAACAGAGAGGATTCCAAAGTGATTCAGCTTCAATTTCATAATAATAATCCATAAATTGATCTGAGACTTGTTTACATATAACTAAAATATAAGGCGATTTGTCCTCTATCGATTTTGAAAATTCCACAGGAAAAGAAAAAAAGGAAGAAAGAAGATGGAACCTGATCGGCGACGGTGATAACGATGTAAGGATCGCTGCTGCGGTGGTCGCGAATGGCGAGATTAATCCCTCGTTTGACGTGAATCGTGAGCAATCCGAGAGGCTTTTGATCCATCGATGGGAATTGAGAGGAGGAGAAAGACTTTTCGACTAGGTCGCTGGAGAATGGAGATGGTAAAGGAGGAAAGAAGAAAAAAGAAGAATTTTAAAAAGAGAGAGAGAAATGGAATTGGGTGCTCGTGATCTCGTCCCCAACTATTCGACACGTTCTCTTCTTTGATTGATTGCTCCATACCGATACCGAGGAAGAGAGAATTTTTATCTAATGGGTTCGACACACTTCTCTACTTTTCAGCGTCGACGGGTACAAGGAACCGTAGTAATGGGCTTGGAGACTTCATTCACGGCCCATTTTATAGATTTTAGGTTTTTCAAATTCTTCTTTAATCAGTTTTATTCAGCCTGAAGAGATTGTAGTAAGTTGCCACAAATGCATACGTTGTCATCCTTTTTTACGTCCATTGATGAGCATCATGGGCTTGTATGAGAGTTCGCTAAATGGAATGAGAGAGGCCCATTAAGATATACATGTCCTCGTGAAATCAATTAAATTAGATCTTGATCTTTTTGTTAAACGAGTTGAATCATAAACAAACATCATATGGTGAAAAGCAAATGTGTATACAGGTAGCTAGTTTAGTTATTAAGTGAATGAAACTGTTCATCCGGAATAAATAAAAGATTAATAATTGACCGTCTAATCCGAATGTGGATAAATGAGAATCAGGTGGTTAAAAAGTAAATGTCACATTCATTTAACTGGTCCTTTGACATGCACAGTTTTATATATTCGCGAATACTAATATTTTAGTGGGATTGATTCTTCTATTTGAAAATAACATTTTATTTTAAGTTATTCATTTTGGGTTATTATTTCTCATGTAATTAGTCCACCACACCGTCACCGTGCTATATATATATCGTTGTACTTTTCTATAAATATATATTTTTAAAAAACCGTATGTGTATAATCCTAGTTTTATGAAGAAGTTATTAAAGAAAGAAAAAAGAGAAAAAGATATAAATAGAAAGGTAAGTGCCTCCTTTCATACTAAATAAAAAAAAATGGTTGAGAACGACGTAGCCATTGTTTGTTTAATCTTAAGTCCGCCTACTGCTAATACAGTCCCAAATAATTATATAATCTCTGACGTTATTTACAAATCAATAGACCGATTAATAGTATACGCGGGATTAGGATGGTGATCCAATCTTATTACATTTGTTGTTTTGATTTTAAAAATATATATTTTCTATCAAATTATTAATCAAATAAAGAAATATTTAAGAATAAAGAAAAATAAAAATAAAAATAAAAATTCGATTCACACTAAAACTTATAAAAAAAGTTGCGGGGAGAAAGAAAAAAACGAATCTTGCAGAGAAATAATTGCAGAGTTCAATGTTTCTATATGCTTAGACATATATAATAATAAAAAAGCTATTTGGTGAAAATATTTGGAAGGACAATGATCGATTATTATATGGACCCCTATATCATATTTTATATAAAAATAAATGAAACTCGATGTGATTGAGCAAATAAGAAAGAGGAAACTTATATAGTAAAAAAAGAAATGAAGCGTGGGGTCAAAAGGTGAGAGAAATTGCATTTGCACACATGCAAGTTGGCAACTTGGTGGGTTTAAAATAAAGCATTTCATGCTGATATATCAGCATATGTGGACGGGACGGCCTTCCTTTGTAATCTCTAATTTTATTAATTTTTTTTCTTTAAGATAAGAAGATTAGTGAATTAAGAAATGTGTACAATTCAATTATTATTCGAGATTATTGTTGATTTATTATATATTTCATGGTTTTTTTTATAGTAAAGGATATGATATTTGGGGTCGGTTCAAACCTTTGGAGAGTACTTTGGACGTGCCTTGTGTTGTGGGTCATCATCATCATCTCTCTTTACTTATTTTAATTTCTGGAACCCCTCTCTCTCTCTCTCTCTCTCTTATAATAATATTCCTCCTCTTAACCCCTCTCTCTCTCTCTCTCTCTCTCTCTCTCTCTTATAATAATATTCCTCCTCTTACCGTATAATCGAGTCTCAGCTCTAAATGTGCGGCTTTCCATTTTTTTTAAAACTGTTCCGGCGGTTTATAATAATAATAATAACCTTATCCTCAATACTTACTAACACGTTAAACAATACGCATCTACTTACACCAAGCTTTTAGACTTTTTATAAAAGATAGTCATACATAAGCCTAGACATATCAAAATGTATCTCCTGTATGAGTCTTTTTTTTTTTATATAACACATACCTTCATTCATCGGTTACAACAAAGGTGCCTGCTATATGAGAAACACCTGAAAGCAGAACAACAAATAACATTACAACCAGTAAAAATTACTGGAAAACACCAAACCAAGTGGCCAAATATTACAACCTGTATGAGTCTCTTACTATGACTGATACGGCCTTTAACCAAACCCCTGCAAAACAAAACATTTTTTTAAAGATTTAGACATTTGGATCTAAACACACTTGATATATGTAGATCTAAAATAATAGCTTCACCATAATAACTCATAAAATTTGTTTGTTCCATATGAAAAGACCCATTGCATCCTGTGATATAACATCCAATCCAATGAGAAATTAGTAAGAAAAAATATAGTCAGCAAAAATATGTTGTATCACACACACTCCACAATAATATAAAAGTTATCAAAACCTTTTTCAATAAAGAAAATATAGCTTAGTAGTTAGTACTCTTTCGTAATTATTATAACTCGCTCTCACCCCTTTTTCTTTCTCAACTTTACTTTAGAATACCCATTTATTAACAACCTAAACTAGAAATATCTTATATCACTACTAAATTGTTCTTAATTTACCTGTTCACACATTGTGTGATTTGTTAAGTTCAAGATATAAATTCCCTTTGCCAAATAAATTTGAGATTACAACGTAGTTTTATTTTTAGAATTTCATAAATATTATTTATTAATTAAATACATCATACTCAGCCTATTTAAAATTGATCCCAAAACAGGCATAAATTAAAAATGACCTACCAAAACGATGATATTTTTTTCATATTTTAAAAATTTTAAACAGTGGAAAATAAATAAAATAAACAGCAGGCAAAACACGGTTCGATTCAGTTCGGTTTTGTTTAGTCTGGTCCGAACATATGTCATCACCGGTCCACTGATTCGGTCTCAAATGACCGAGTCTACCTCTCACCCCATAGCGCCGATACCATCGGCTTCGAGAGGCAGCTCAGATGACCGAATCTGTTGTTCCCCATAGCACCACCTAAGGCATCGGAGTTGACTCAGTGCGCCGCCGAGGGTTTCCAAGCTGAGGTGGTAATGAGCGGCCGAGTATGCCATCCCAACATCAAACATCCATTGTTCTCCTCCACACGATAACCTTGGCCACTATTGAACACAGACAGAAGCATACTGGCCTGCTTGAACGCGTTAGACCCAAGATGTGCCGGCGCAAAACCGGACGAACCGAACCGGTTTCCCCATTGACTCAGCGTTTCGTGTCGCTCCACGCGGTCAGGACCTTCACAAGCCACGAGGTTGCAAATCTGTTTCCCCAAGTACACTTCAGACATCACTTTGTCTTGGCTGCTCGGAACTCCTTCCAAGGAATCAAACAGAGTCGAATAGTAATGCAGCGATTCAGTAAACCGGTCTAAGAAAACCGGTCCGTTGTGGTTCGATTCTTGCTCAACCACCGTGAAAATCACCGGTTTAATCTGCTTCACAACGCCGAGGACTTTCTCTATCCCGCCGGGACGACCTAGGAGCTTATGGAGCTCGAAAACAGAGTTCACCGCAACAGATTCAACTTCACTCGGTCTAAGTTCAAGCATCGACGCATCAAGATCGGCTAAGCTGTTAGCGACGAATCCACGGTATTCGAACTCGACGTGAATGGCCTCCGCAAGCTGAGCTAATTTACATCCAACTTCGTGGAGATGATCGGAATTATCCGGCGCCGGAGGACCGATCCCGGTTAACCGGAAAACAGGAGGACCTCCTTCTCGGAGAGCAAGAGCTTGCATAAGCGCAGGCCACTGAAGACCTTGGTTCATGGAGAAATCGATGACGTGAACCCTCTTCTTACCTTGGAAGGCTTCAAGGATAGCTTGATTCGCCGTAAAGTGAGCGAATTTGAGATAAGGACAAGTCTCGTAGAAGTGCATCTGAAGAGTATCGGAAAGAGAATGGTCGATTTGATTCTGCGGCGGAGAGAGACGGTAGATCCGCCGTGCGAGAGCTTCGGCGAAATAAGTCGCGACTTTCCTCATGGCTCCAGATTGAGAGACAGCTAAGCATCCGATTTGCTTCACCAGAGCCTCCGCTAGAGTGAGATTGTTCTGCTGCACAGCTTCAGCACAAGCCATGAGCGCGTGGACAAGACGAACACCGTTCTCCTGCGAGTCAACCAGGATAACAGAACGAGTTGACTCAGCCGCCGCCGCCGCCGTCGTAGTCGTGGTTGTCACCGTCGTGCCTATGACTCCACCAATCTGCATAGCCGTGGTGGAGGTGGACGTAACCATCGAATCAGGGCTGGAGCATGACTTCAAACGCTTGTTCTGATTACTCGAAGAAGAAGAAGAATCAATCGCGAATTGAGATCTCTGCTGATAAATCGCGTTTCCAGGAATCACTTTGAGGTCATAATCAGAAGCCGGAAAGCCGCCGCCGATGGAGGTAATAGTAGAAGAATCTCCGGCGGTGCAGAGGAAGGAGTTGTTATCAATCAGAATCGGATCTAAAGAAGAAGGAGGAGGAGGAGGAGGAGGAGGATTAAGCTCCGTAAGCATATTATCAAGCCAAGAGTAAAGCTCCGATGGATTGTAATGAACCGTGTCCGTGGCGAGATGAGATAAGCCATCTTCTTGAACATTCCCCATCATCGTCTCTAACTGCTCGAGTTTCAAAGCGACCTCAGCCATCTCCGATGACCTAACCTTGTAACCTAAGACAGCGAGGAGCTCGTCCATGTTATTACCGTCTTCTTCTTCCTTGACCATCATCATCTTGTCTTTAGACAGAGGTGGTAGAGGTGAGGATGAAGAACAAGTCCCGTGAGTGGCGTTGGGACCTTGGTATTGATGAAGATCTCTCTTCATGGTTGAGTAACTCTTCCGATCTTGGGATCTAGGGTTTGGTTATTAGGTATAAGGGACGAAGAAGGAGAAGAAGGAACATGTGACTTCTCTCTTTAGGTGAAGAAGAAGAAGAAGAAGAATCTTAAGCAATGGAGGAGATCAAAATGGGGTGGGGGAAGGATTGCTTTGTTTTGTTTTGTTTTTTCACTGCTACTACCACTTCAATCATCCTTCATACGAACTAAATTTTTTTTTATTTTTTTGTAAATTTATATATTTACCAAGAAAATAAATTATTAGAATAAAAAGATATTTATTCTGGATGAAAATTAAAAAAAAAAAGAAAGAAAGAGAAAAAAAGAATGGTGGTGATGGGGGCTCGACGACCAATGAAATAATTCATGTATAAACTTTTATACAGTGCATCGAAAGCGATAAGGCTGTAGGTGAAATAAGACATACTACAAATTTTTATTTTTCTTATTATATATAACTGGTACTAACTTAGTTATTTTCTAGGTAAAACATACAAATAAAACTGTGTAGAAACCTTATTAATTTTTAATCTATATGTATATTCGAAGAGATCTCTTTTACTTTTATGTTTGGTTGTGTGAATTGTGATGTGTATTTTGTTTTAGTTTTAGATTTACAAGATCTCATCAGAGTAGTAAAAGATTTGTGGATCTACACTAAACTGACATTTATTTTCCCATAATAGACTCAGTGGAAACAACACTAAAGTATTCGTACAAGTCTGATGGGGAATCATTAAACCTTTAGTGAAATCTATAAATATTAAGAGAGTTCGGTTCTTTTGATGGAGAAGTGAAGATGCTTTTTTCCGGTGGATAATTAAATTCAACTTTATAAAATAAAAATAAAGCTGAACTCGTCTCTTGATACTGTTTTAACTTCCCAGGTTCTGTGGTAATAATAATTCAACAATTTGACTTGTTCTTGGGTTTAATATGTCTTGGGAGTATTTAACCCAAGAGAGAACCATCGAAAACATCAATCTAAAAATGCGTACGATCTCAGATAAAAGAATAGTTTTTTTTTTTTTTTTTTTGGTTTTAACAACAGTATGAGAGTAAATAACTAAATATACAGTAACTTTTAACTCTTACAGAATCAGTTTATATACTTACAGAAATTCATATTTCTATAGAGAAAAATATTTTATAATTGGGGTATTGGGAAATCATCGGACCAATGTGGTTCAATTTTCGAGTTTTATTTTTTTCAAGTTTTCTTTTCTTATAACTTTAAAACAATATATATAAAAATATCAAGATTCAAAAATTGGGTTATGATATTGTTAATTAACCGGATATGAATAATTCGAATATATTATATATTGAGTGAACATGCTAATCTACGATTACTGTCAAAGTCTAAAGAGCCTAAACAATAGTCTAAAGAGCTATTTTAAACTTACGAAGCCAGCAAAAACAAAATAACAGCTAGACACTAATTAGAAAAATATATATAAAATGTATGTGAAAATAAAGAGAGTAAAGTTTACGTAAAACTGCTTGTAAATACATTCATAGCTTGAAAGACTAATTTATATGAATACACTATATGATATTATTGCATGATACAAAAATAAAAATTAAACTAATTATACAATAGATCGTCTCCTAAAAGAAAAGGATAATGAAATAATAATAGTTGAAAAAGCATAATCGGGCGGGCGACAAGAACCCGTATTTAAGCATAATAACGGCCCGAGTCCGTCAACGTCGAAATCATTCACACACACAAAAAAGGAGATTCCGTTCCCCCGTTTCCATTGCTTAACGCCGTCATTAACGGACTATTTCTATCATACTCTTATTTAAAATAATATGGAGAAATAATATCGGGAAACCCGAACTGACAGCACGTGATGGATCCACGTGTACGTAGGTCCTATATTATTCTTCAACCGTTCGATTAATACACGTGTCATATTTGTGTGTGTTAGATCTAATTTAAAATTAGCCTTGACGGCCGTTTTTACGGATCCGTTCGTTGTCGACCGATCTCTATCCATCTTTTTTTCAATATATGGTTACAAACTTTGATGTTATTATATCATTTATTTATTTTGTGATGTTACGTCACTTTCGTTATCTGTTTCGGTTAAATTTCTTGCCAAATCATCATATGCTTTTGTTACTGTACTAATAGGATAACTACAACTTTATTTATACAATTATAGCAAACCTTTATTCACAACACAGTTTAACATGATGAACTAGTAGTACATTATTAGTTTATGCTTAACAGTTAATTACGAAAATTTTATATACATCATAAGAAAGTAATCATTTTTTCGAGCAAACTACATCACTGCCCTAAAAAGTCAATCACTCATTTAAGTATGCTCGTAGACATCGTAATATTTTCCACGTACGGTTTCATCAAAACTCTATTTTTTACATTGGAAACTATATGCTATATGTCTTTTGCATACTGTAGCTACTAGCACTTTCGGACTAGAAGTTGATGAACTAACATTTTCCAGTATATGTATATATATGAGTAACATTTATGATAACCTAATTAAGAGATCATATTATTATCCATGTATAGAGCTGTGTTCGGTACGTATAGTAAATGAGGTCGTGTTATGATCGATCGTTATTGTGTATGACTGTATGGCTTTGAACATCAACATATACTACTACGGACACTGATTTAACCAGCAGTACACGATGAATCGTTTTGAGTAAATGTGTTTTGACACGTTGTATTATAAGTTTAGTTTTCAGAGTTTTATACGTACATGAATCATTTTAATGTATGTATTTGCACTCGATTTTACGATACGGGGCTACATGAATAGTTTTGTGCATTATTGTTATGACTCCTGCATTCAAATTCTATGTGCAAACTAATGTATTATAGAGCATTCTACGTTTTTCATAATGTTTGGGCTTTTTAAGGATCAGATTTATATAAATATTTTGGAATGTGCTACAATATATAGTTCATTTCAATTACTACTCTCTTTTTTCATAGATTATATAGGTTTAAAGACAACGTTTTGCGATCGTTTTTGGTTTGCACGCGTTGCATAACACAATATCAGTATATCACAAATGTACGTAGTATGATCTAGTTAATGTTAGAAACTTATAGAAACCGAGTCAATTCGGATAATATATTGATATATTCATTCATTGTTGCTTCAGTGCATTAGGAATAATGGACCAGCAAATCTGGAAGAATCATAATTCGAATCATTTATGGTTTTATTTATTTATTTTCCGTATACATTGTATTGTTTGGGGATTATCAACTTAGATTTTGTACACCACCAAAGATTTAGGTAAATAATAGCGTATAAATTGACCAGGTGGCTTCCTAATTTATAAAACTTGCTGCTATCAAATTAATTTCTAACGCAAAAGTAATCAAAAATGTACGTATAACAACAGACACATAAGTGGTGGTTACGCTAAATGTTTAATACACAAACACTAGCTAGTATTCTTTAAACACTAATCATCATAATTCATAACGTTAACGTAACATGTTAATATTAGTAATTTAGTAGTACCCGACAGAATAATTTATAATTCCAATTTTCCTAGCTAGTTACTGAAATATATTTCAACCCTGTAATAGATATATCCTTACATGGAAAAACACAAAGATGATGATAAGAAATTCTGATTCGACCCATCAGCCATCGCTACATCTTTGCCATATCTGATTTCTAGCTCACAACTAGATGATCGATAATTGCATATTTCCTTTTTTAACTAAAAAGGTTCAGTTGATTTAACTTAAATCTGATGATTACTGTCTCTTTTCGTGCTGATCATCAGTGTTATGATGAGTTGTTTTTTTTTTCTACTGTGGTAATTAACGAGCTACGTAGAGAGTACACATATACCTCATCTCAGCAATCTATTATTCTAAGAACAAATCAAATTATATAACAACTAGGTGTTAATTATTTATACACATTCATCTTAATTCATGTCGCAAAGAACAACTCCCAGACGTCGTTACTAAAGCTTTGTTGTACGTATAGTCAAGATAGTACTAGTACTGATTACATTTAGTAAGTAATAAAGATGATAATTACATTAAAGCTAAATAAACTACTTTTCCCGAAATTAAAATTTATACTATATTTTATTTTAGAGATTGTAATCAAGTTCCCTCATTGATTTCTCCTTCTGGTGGAAGACAGGAAATGAATATGGTATCAAATCATCTGTCATAAACAAATATATACCATATAGAAAAGCTATAAATAATTGAGAAACAAAAAAAAAACTTATTAAAAAAATAAAAAAATTGTGAATTGCCCCATCAATTGATATGAGGTGGCAGAGAGACCACTCATAGTTTGGTAGGGGCACCTCAAAATTGCATGAATACCAGATTAGAATTATTCCTTTTTCATTAATCTCACCTAATACTGATTTCTATTTATTTTATTTTTTTGAAAAAACTTTGTATCAAATATATTTAAGAGTTTAAAAGAAATTATGGTATATCTTTGAAAAAACAGAGAGAAAATTAAAAAGGTTGACAATGGTGTGTGAAGAAAGGCATTCACGAAAAAGGCATAGAACAAATGCCTTTTATTAGTCATTTCATTAATGCAAAAAAATTCATGATTATCGTAACCATTTATTATTATTATTGTTTTCTTTTATTTTAAAAACAGTACTTTTTAAGAAAAAGGACCAGCTAATTTATAAAGATTGAGAATATGGACCCAAAAATAAATGGATATAAATGTATCATCAGTTGTTATGATATTGACATTGTATTATTTGTTCTTGTAGACAAACATTCCATTTTAATTTATTTACACTGCAGATATTTATGAAAAAACTTAAACTGTAAGGTTTTATAATTTTTTGGTGTTAAATTAAACTTGTGAAACTATAAGATAATTACTAAATTAGAGTACTACATTATTATTGTGCTAATTTATACGGACAGGGAGAATAATTAAAATACTTATTAACTGGAGGCGCGTGTAACGCACGAAGTAGAGAAAGTCGCGTCAAATAAAGACAGCTGGTGACAGGCTGAATATTGCATACGTGTCGTCCAGACATGGAAGAGAGATAACCACTGCCGATGAACTGGAGTTTGAACTGCACGCTCTGTTTCCATGCCATGTGGCATTTTTGTTGTTGTAGCAGCATTTTTGAATGATTAACTGAAGTAAACCCTAATAAAGCAATACTTAATAGTTAGTACCTACTCTAATCAAAAAGTTCCAGAAATAAATGAGTAACATGAAATAAACATAATTGGAGATGGCATCACTGACTTTTCACCATAGGACAAGCTTATCCAAATTTGATTAGTTAAAAAAAAAATCTTAAAGGGGAAGGGTCATCTTACAAAACTGGGTGGTCATTACGATTTTGTGCATGTCTTGGTGTATTGCCATAGAAAGCTTCACAGAATGATAGTTACGGCGTCGATAATTTGTTAATTTCACCGGCATCTCTATTGTTATTCCTTCTTATAATTTGCATGCAATAATGTTTAAGAAAATGTGATTTATTTTATATCTTCTATAGACAAAACGCTAATATACAAAATTCTTAATTTATAGTAAAGTAATACTATTTCTTAACATGAGAAAGAAATAATATAGTTTTCTGTTTTGACAACAGTAAAACACCTGTTAGTTTTTTTATTATAAATTATGATATGACAAATCTGAGGTTACATTTTTGTGCATCTATGTAACTGATTATTTTACCATCTAATACTTATTTAGTTAAATCTAGCATTATCCACAATTCTCAATAATTCCGTTCAAGGAATCTATGCAGAAGTCGGAACAAACTATGCCCATGTGAACTTCACATTCAGATCTCGAAAAATTCGTTCCGAAGTCTTTTTTAAGTTTTATATATTAGATATGTGTGAGTCAAAAATCTATATTTATGAATAGACATATAAAAATAGATCTGTAAACCGTACGGATGACATGAATACACGTGCATGCATGGTAAAAAAGCATATAATAAAATCGGTGAAAAAATCGGGTGGCCAGATAGGGGTGAGTGACACAGCGAGTTAAAGAAAAATAAGATTTGAGATCTGCGACGTCAAAACGTGTTTAAACAGAAGATCTACGCAATGTCATGAAAACAAGTTAAAAACAATACTATAGTTCTATTATCGTTTTCAATTTGCTTTATGAAAACGACTATGCACAAAAAGTAGATAATAAGAGAGAAGTGAATACCCATCGAGGAGGACCAACCAACGAATCATGCTACCGTTGGCTTCAGGTGCAAGACGCATGAAGTCCACATGAAAAAAGGTGGCTCAGCTCTTGTGGACTCTTCCATATTGTTAGTGTTTTTAATAATATACCTATTTTAGTTTTTATTTTTTCAACTAGCCAATCAGCATAGTGACTTTTTTCAACAGAAATCATTTTATTACATCATTAATAGTATCATTACACACAGCGAAAGTAATTAAAAAAAAAAAGCTGGTCTGAAAACGAATTGAAAGACATTTATATGTGCCGACATGCGGACATGTAGTAGATTGCGGCCCGAGAAGGCGACATGCGCAGATCTATCCGATAAGACTCAGAGATATATCTTTCCATCATAAGATTTGGGATGTAATCTTTCCTCTATTATTTCTCCTGTCATGGTTTATCATTCACTTCACTAGTTTAGTGTGTGTGTGTGTGTTTGAGCTATGTACGGAGTTATCTTGAAAACTTGATGAGATTTCAGAATCCAAAATCATCTCATATTCGTTTACCTATTATACGATCACTAATTAGGAAATCTCATTAACCGAATCGATTACAACCCAACGATATACTGAACTAATAAGAGAACCCACAAACTAGGTGAGCTTATTTGGCTTCTTTAAAATATGTTTCTCCACCAATTTATTACCGATAAAATTGTTTTGATGTGAAACACTTATTTTGATGACAAAAGCGAGATTCGAAATATTGAATACTCGTAACACTCTTGACAACTAAACAAGCTAAATCTTGTTGTCATACGGCATATACTGCCATTAATAAGAACTCTCTTCCCATCTTTAATTTTTTTTTCCACTAATAGAATGAGAAAGTAGCTCGAGGAAGATGATGAACATTCTGTTATTTCTCATTAAAGTGTTTGTTACAATGAAACACTCTTTATATAGTGGAGTGTTCTGGTTTTACTAAACCGGCTAATAACCATACTCTAATATCCACAAAAGGCCTTTTATGTGTTTTTTTTCACATATTCTAAAACCTTACAAGCACTATGGTTCCTACCACTATGTGTAACATTTGCAGCTAGAGCTTTTAGTATATCATGCATTAGAATGTAGAAATGGAAATTCAAGGGAGTTCTGATCGTTTATTCATTAAAACATCCTAAAGGTCGAGCAACGTTTTTTCTAATCTTTGAAAGTACATATGCCAAAATGAGTCAGTTTTAAAATTTATATGGTATAACAATTCAAACTAGTTCATTAATGTTTGACGTCAAAGGGATGATTACCATACTATATAATTTTGTAGTAAATCAAGTATGCACGAAATGAAAGTCAAACATGATTTGATAAGTGTAGCTTCTTGTTTTGGTAACGTAATTAAAAAAACAAAAGAAAACAAATCGGTGGGATTTACCAAATATAGACAATAATCATCATTCCATTTCCAAATCATCAACTTGTCATCAAAATCATATTATTTTACTATTTGCAGTTATAATCATATGAATGTAACGTGCCTTGAAAATGTAAGCGCAAGCGCCAAGTCTTCATGATGTAACGACTATAACAACGTCGTTCGCTTTTATAATTCTCTCACCGTCCCATCTTATTTACACCAAAAACGATGTCGTATTTGGCAAGCGAATGACTAAGGTTAATTATGTAATTGTAGAGTTCAACAAAGGTAGAAGCGAAAGGGGCTCGAGTCGAGTGAGAGAGCTCCAATGAGATTGGCATGTGTGAGTTCACAAAGTCGCTGAATCTCGTCTCGATTCCTGGACCAGGTACTCTTTCAAGTGACCTTGTAAAGTTTTGGTTATCGCTGGATCATAGGATTTTTGGAGCTAGGGGCTGATAATTCCGATTCCAGAAATGCTATAATCGTCTTGAAGCTTATTCTTTGAAGATTTTGATAATGCTCTTGTGGTATAGTAAATTTCTGTATGAATCAATTTGATAAATTTTAATCTACTTTGAATTGCTAAGACAAATCACATCTCACTTTCCCTTTTCTCAGATATTGTTCAACCACATGATTTTGTTTTTATGATGTTGCTGTTTATGTTTGTATTATATGTGCAGTTGACAGAGGTTAATCTAATTGAGCTACTTCAAAACGATTTGGCCTCACATCTGTTTGCTGCTTATCAAGTTTACAAGAATACACATATATCTAGTACCTAATAATGCAGTAATTGGCTTTGTCGTTTTTGATATAATTGGTTAGTTGCTTGAAGCCTTGAACATCTAGAGTTTCTGGTCAGCTCCATTGAGTCTGAGCATGTTTTTTATTAGCCAATATTAGTAATCACGCTCTAATGATCACATGAGCTATTTCAGAACTTAGTTTCTGCAATATGTGTGTAAGACTGTTTCTGGGTGGTAAGTATATTGTGAAGTGGTCTGCTCTGCACCTTTTAATCCCTTTTCATCAAATGTTTGAATGTGGTTTTTGCGATATATAAGACTGTCTCTGGTTGGTATCATCAAGTGCTCTGCTCTGCACCTTTTAAGCCCTTTTCATCAAATGTTTGAACTTGGTTTTTGCGATATATAAGACTATCTCTAGTTGGTATCATCAAGTGCTCTGCTCTGCACCTTTTAAGCCCTTTTCATCAAATGTTTGAACTTGGTTTTTGAGATATATAAGACTGTCTCTGGTTGGTATCATCAAGTGCTTTGTCTGCACCTTCAAGCTCTTTTTTTGTTTGTTTATCAATTGCTTTATTCTGTGGCTAATTCATCTGTTTGATCTTTTGGTGTCTAGTTATGAACTCAGCATTCAAGGACTTGGCTCATTTCGTTGCTGGAGGCGTTGGATTTGTGGTTTTTCAAGAGAATGACACGAGTTTTGCAGAATTTACATTCTCGGTAACTATCTTTTTTGAACTCATACATATTTGTATGCTTAAAGTTTTTAACATTATCCAATACACATATATATATATGCTTATATCACTAACTATAAGGTTCTTAAAGATCAATTATTTCCTGAAAGAGTAGAACACAGTGAAGATATAAACACTGAGAGCAGAAGAGACCAAAACCACAAGCGCCAAGACAGTATGAATTGCCAAAGCACTGCCGCAAGAGAGTAGCCCGATACGAAGCTGAATAACATCAACAATTGACAACAGGAGAAAAACACAGCCCAAGATAGATCCACCAGCTGCACCAACCACACCAAAACGAAGCACATCCCTGTTAATATTTGCTTTAAACACTTCATCCGTTTCTTTGCTGTTCAAAAGGTTGATGGCTAGCTTCATGCCTTGAGCCACCAGGGAGGAGAAGAGGAAGAAGGCAAATGAGATGACTTCAAACACAACTAGGTCGCGTTCCACGTCTCGTCCTGCATTGCACTCGGATCTGTCCGTGAGGCTGAGGTCACGTGGTTGGTCAAAGGATATCCCGACAAAGACTGCGACCGTGAAGAGAGAATTAGCACTTACGATCCCGTCAAGTGCTGTAACGTGAACGCTCGTGGTCGATGAGGTTGAATGGCTGGTGTTGCTGTTGCTATTGTGGTTGCTACTCGTCTCTATGTCGGAGTCTGCCATTACCAATGGATCCCTTTTACTTGAATAGCTTAAAGGCTTCTTTAATGGTTTATCATAATCTTCTGTTGTGTTGTTATGATTCCCTATTTTAATTGATTTGGTAATGTAGTTTAAGAGTGGGTGGTGTTTGGTTTAGAACGATTAGCCTTTGGAAAACGATTGATGTATGGTTAAATGAATATTTAAAGCCATTTCAAGTCTTGGAAGGTACACGCACCTTTCTCCTTTCTCCTTTTGTTGTGTTAGAAAAAGGCTTCTTCGGGTAACCAAATCTTGAATCAATTCACACGTAAATCAACACAATGTTGTAACAACCTTACACGTTAACTACACTTTTTTACCTTTTCCCATTTTACCGGTGTTCAAGAAACCGGTTAAGACTTAACCGTATTTCATAATTAGATGGTTGCTTATTTGACGAGACATAAAAAATATCATAACCAAGAATAGAAAGAAACAAAACTAAGGTTGTCTTAGCTGACGTGGCATGTCCTCAATTTTTAATTGGCTGGAGAATTCAAGAGGATGAAGTATAGAAAATCTCTTAAGTAAAGAAAATTCAAACCACACAAGTGAGAAGGAGGAGGCAATGGCGGTCTTATCCACCATCTTCTCCGTGACCACCAGAGCTACAACGCCTCCTATGGCGTCTCTAACTAATGACTCACCGTCTCCACTTCCTTCTTCTTCTTCACCGTCGAAGAAACCTGGAAAACTAATCAAAGTGAGCAAACAAATGGGTGAACAAAACCAGCAATTACGGAAGCAACGGCGAGGCAACAAGCCTTCGATAGCTCAGATCGAGCGAGCCTTCGGGGCTGGATCATATCGCGATTCCGAAGGGTAAAGACAAATCATTGACGATTGCTAAACGTGTGTTAATTAGTCTTGTAATCCTAACTGTGCCATTTTGATATTTCTTTTTGTTTGTCTGAATTAGGGAAATGGATATGAATACAGTATTTGATGAGCTTCTATTAGGCCATGCTAATAAATTCGAAGGAAAGGTCGAGAAGAAGCTACGAGAGATTGGCGAAATCTTCGTAGCTAAAACAGAGCCTAAGCTTCGTTCCTCTGGTTAGTTTTTTAGTGATTATATCTATAAAATTCATTGATGATGCGTTGGTTAGCTTAATCATATGAAAATTGGTTGATGTTGCAGGGAAGCCAGTATTAATGTTTACAATTCAGTGGATTCTTCCCATATGGATTCTGTCTCTGCTCGTAGCTTGTGGAGCTATCAAACTCCCTTTTAGCATCCCTTTACTTGATGACCTGATCATGTGAACTCTTCTGCTACAACACACATATTACATATACCATGTTTACTGTGATATATGGATCATATGATAGATATCTTGATAACTTCTCCAATTTAGCAAGATATGGTTAGACTGGTGTATGCATTAACACTATCCTACTAACATAAAAGTTGGTGAGAAGTATAATCTTGCAGCTCTGCTTCATCAGCTATAAATAGAATGTTATTACAGAAGATAGTTTTGTAGCCGCAAACGATTCAGACACAACCACTAGATATAAAAAACCAGGCTGTAGCGGTGAAGTGTTCGAAGTCTAGTGATTAAGAATAATATGAAGCTGGCAATTTTTACGTAGTTAAGCGGTAGGTGGCCAACATCTCTCAGTCTCAACATCTGTAATCCCCACCTCATTTCCTGTGTTATTTTCATATTAAATTGATGACTGTAGTATAAGCATACACCTCTAGACTAATGTATGTATTATTGAAATAACATAAAAAGAACACATGGGCTTTTGGATTTTATATTTGAAAAAGATGATAATCCAGAGGAGCAGATTAGTATAGAGTTAGGTCATTAAGTACTGTCAGAATTTTCCAGATAATACATATCATTACCGTTTTTATGCTTTGCGTGAGCTTTTTAATTATGAAATCCTATTTGATGATCATCATCACAAAAACATTATTATAAAATCTTATATGTAAATTCTGACTTTTGTTTACTTATTTTTTATTTCGTGTAGTCAAATAAAATATAAATCAAATGAATATTTTATTTTATAAAATGAATATTTTATTTTATAAATGTTAAACGTACAGAAAATTCAAAATTTGGCTATTTTATGTAATTTTGACTCTTTTTTTAATTTTTGTAAGTCGGAATAAATTGACTTGGAATTAAGAAAATTAAAAGTTGAAACAGAAACGGAACAATTCTAAAACCTCGCGTTCCCTTTTTTGCTTTCTTTCATCACTTTTGTTTCTTCTCTCTTTCTCTCTCGTTGTTGTAGTCTCTGTGATTTCCCGTGAATTTTTTCCCGGAGCTTTTCTCGGGAAAAAAACTTAATCTAAAGCAAACAAAGTTCGAGATTGAGACACGTCATCTCCGATTTCGTAGTCGGAGAGAGAGAGAGAGAGATCTGAACGAGTCTCCTTTGTGTTTCCGATGGGAACGCTTCAGTCATGGAGGAAAGCTTACGGAGCCCTAAAAGACTCCACCAAAGTCGGCTTAGTCCGAGTCAACAGCGATTACGCCGTACGCGCTTTTCCGATTTCTCTATCCGTTGATGTTTTTATTTCTTTAATCTCTGATAGATTCGGTTTTTTGGTTTTCTGGAATTTTCATTGTATTTTTTAAGGATTTAGATGTTGCCATAGTCAAAGCTACGAACCATGTCGAGTGCCCTCCCAAAGATCGCCATCTCCGAAGTGAGTGATTTTGTTTCTTGTGTTCATCAGTTGTTTTTTCTTTGGGAATTCTTAGATCTGATTGTATTGCTCTTCGTCTACTGAGATTGATTGTTCTTTTGTTGTTGCAGAAATCTTCGCTGCAACTTCAGTGACTCGTGCTCGAGCAGATGTTGCTTATTGCATTCACGCCCTTTCTCGCCGTTTGCATAAAACCAGAAATTGGACGGTACTGATCGATTGATTGATTTTGTTTTAAATTTGATATAATTTTGATGACATGATTCTTAGTTCTTGAATTTTTGTGTTTTGAGTAAGCATGAACTGATAACTTTTATCTCTTATTCTCTATTGGGTTGTTTCAATAGGTTGCCCTGAAAACAGTAATTGTTATTCATCGGCTTCTAAGGGAAGGAGATCCAACTTTCAGAGAGGAGCTCTTAAACTTTTCGCAGAGAGGGAGAATTCTGCAACTTTCTAATTTCAAGGATGATTCTAGCCCTATCGGTAAGTCAATTTGTGTTTCTAGTTCATTTGTGTGGCCATATGTGTTAGAATCATAAGAGGTTCCTAATTGAGTGTTAAGGTTAATTGGAAGCTTTTTTTTTTTTTTCTCTTACAGCCTGGGATTGTTCAGCTTGGGTACGTACTTATGCATTATTCCTTGAGGAACGGCTTGAATGCTTCAGGGTTTTAAAATATGATACTGAGGCAGAACGTCTTCCAAAATCTAACCCAGGGCAGGATAAGGTATCAATCTTTCGTTTACTCTCTCTTTTTTCCTTTGTGTTCCTACCTCTTTTTTTCTGATGGTTTTTGTTTTGCATATTGCGGATGGCCAGGGGTACAGTAGAACCAGGGATTTAGATGGTGAAGAACTCTTGGAACAGTTGCCAGCTCTCCAGCAGCTTCTATATCGTCTCATTGGTTGCAGGGTACTATTTCTTATTTTATTTGTTTCTGTTTTTGATATTTTGTTGCGGCACTTGGTGATCATGAACTCTCTTGTTTTTTTTCAGCCAGAAGGCGCTGCTAACCACAATCATGTTATACAATATGCACTTGCTCTGGTACGTAATAATGATCCCCAGTCCTAGGATTAACATGTTTACAACTGGACACAGCTGTTGGTGTCTTGCTCTGCAAAAGCTTTCTGTTTCATATGGAAATGATTTCTGCAAAACCTTGGTCATTTCTTAAGTTATTTTTCGTCGTATGATAGGTATTGAAAGAGAGTTTTAAAGTCTATTGTGCTGTCAATGATGGAATCATCAATCTCATTGACAAGGTAGGTTTAGTTTGTCTTTTTGCTATCATAGCTATCATGTCTTTCTATCTGCTTTCCTTTTACCCTGCATTTTTTTCATATATTGCAGTTCTTTGAAATGCCAAAGCATGAAGCCATCACTTCCCTTGAAATATACAAGCGTGCCGGTCAGCAGGTAATGTTGTTGGACTGTTTTTGGTGGTATATATTTCACCTGTCACACTTTATTGTATAACAAGCAATGATGTGTTTTTCAGGCTCGCAGCCTCTCTGATTTTTATGAAGCCTGCAAAGGATTGGAACTTGCGAGGAATTTTCAGTTTCCTGTTCTAAGAGAGGTACCAAATGAAGACAACTTCTGATAAAGTTCTTCGACAACCATTGCTTGTTTCTGTTACTCAATACATTACTTTATTTTTACTTTTTTTCTCAGCCTCCACAATCTTTTCTGACAACAATGGAGGAGTATATTAAAGAAGCCCCACGGGTTGTTGATGTCCCAGCGGAACCACTGGTATGTATGCCTATACAATATTTTTGGTCTTTTGGCCTTCTTTTTTTCTTCTTTGTCATATGTGCTAATGGAGCTTTCTGCATTCAGCTTCTAACTTATAGGCCGGATGATGGACTGACTGCCGAAGACACTGAACCGTCGCATGAAGAACGTGACATGTTACCTTCAGATGATGTTGTGGTTGCATCAGAAGAGACAGAACCTTCTCCCCCGCCTCCTCCTTCAACCAACACTCAGAACTTCATTGATACTGATGATCTACTGGTGAAAATTCTATCATGATCACTTTATTATTGTAGTTTCAATTTTGTTTCTTACTGCGATTCTTATGTCTCAAGTTCTCTTTGTTCAACTTTCACCACAGGGTCTGAACACTGGTGCTCCTGATGCATCTGTTATCGAAGACCAAAATGCACTTGCTTTAGCCATAATTACAACTGATGGTGAGCTTCTTGTTGGACCATTTACATGTCCAGTAGTATTTTGCCAGTCTGGAGAGGGTGTTACTGTCTTTGTTTTCCTTGTGCTGACTCATTACTGATCTCTTTATTTCCAGATAATCCTTCAACACCTCGTTTCGGTAAAGCAAATGATTACGATCCTACAGGATGGGAGCTTGCATTGGTGACGGCTCCCAGCAGCGATATCTCTGCAGCCACCGAGAGGAAATTGGTAAGCATTATTTGCTTTCGTTATTTATATTGCCATATGTTTAAAATAGTAGATCACACAAATCGACGCCAGTTAGTAGTTGGTGGTAAAATATTTGGCTGGAAAGTTGGAGCTTGAGATGTTCAATTTGAATCCTGAGACTAGGAACCTTGCTATAAATATAGTTATGGAACCATGAGGATGGGAACTTCATTGTTGGTGTAGGTGATGATTATATAGAACTATAGAAGGATAGGATAGTGTGTAAGGCTAGTGTGCAAGGCTGTAAGCTAATGTTGAAAAAGTCATATAATTTGTGCAAAAAAATGTTTTAGGCTGGAGGGTTAGATACGCTTACACTTAGCAGTCTATACGATGATGGAGCCTACATAGCTTCCCAACGCCCTGTCTACGGTGCACCAGCTCCCAACCCTTTTGCGTCCCATGACCCTTTTGCATCATCCAATGGCACAACTCCCCCACATCAGCAGCCAGCGGTCAATAACCCCTTTGGTGCTTACCAGCCGACGTATCAACATCAGCCCCAGCCAACGTATCAGCATCAGTCCAACCCTCCTCCGACCAACAATAGTAATCCATTTGGCGATTTTGGGCAATTCCCGGTAAACCCGGTTTCACAGCAGCCAAATACCACCGGTTATGGTGATTTTGCAGTAAACCAACAAAACAACCCGTTCCGCAGCACTGGCCTCCTGTGATGATGTTTTCTGTTCACGTTTGTTGTATCTTATTCATTGGTTTTGGTGGGAAGGAAGGAGAGATGGAGGGAATTGGTTTTATTTGTGAGTAATAGAACCACATGATTGGTTTTGTTGATGATCTCTGTTTTTTTTTGCTTGTAGAAAGATAAAATGTTTGGGATATATATATTTGCATATATGAGTAACATCCCACCCCGCACTTTTATTGCTCTACTAGAGTGCTAAAATGTCTCTTCAGTTCTAATAATGGGCCTTTTCTTCTTGGGTACTTTCACTGTTACAAACCGATGTGAAGTGTCGCGTCTTAGGTTGATATAGGTTCTCATTCCCTTTCGTCCTTTTACGCCCATTGATATCTGAACACGTGTTGACTTTTAAGAAGCCGAATCATATCGAATTATTGGCCACAATTGTTTATTATTCGTTGTTGATGATAAAGTTCAGAATCAGGGAGAATAGCGTAAATTCGCAAAAGCGTATGAGTTATCACCTTTCAGCCACGTCAGCGATCCTGCAAGACGATATTCGGATCGGTGCATAGCCGTCGGATCATAAATCGTGTTCCGCAAACCCTAACCGTCGGATGAGGTAGAAAACCACATTAACCAATTAATTAATTTGGTTTTAAAATCCCTAAAGAAGCCACACAGTTTCTTTGCTTCACCTCAACAGTACTCTCTCTACTGCTCTCTCTCTCTGTAAAATTCATGTTTGACATGACGACGACGGCGACGACGGAGAACGCAATTGATCTTCAACAAAATGATCCAGTGGCGACTCAGAGTCCCGCCTTCTCTCTCCCTCCATATCCACAGGTATATATCATCACTCATATTTTAATTCAAAGCTTTATTCTCCTTCTCCCTTCTTAGATCTGAGTTTATCTTTTGTTCTTCTTGTTAAAAATGGAATTAGATGATTATGGACGCGATTGAAGCTTCAAACGACCCAAACGGATGCAACAAGACGGCGATTGCGAAGTACATCGAATCGACTCAGATCACTTTACCTCCGTCTCACAACACGCTTCTCAATTACCATCTCAATCACATGAAACAATCAGGCCAGCTCGTGATTGTGAAGAACAATTACATGAAACCAGATCCAAACGGTCCTCCCAAGCGTGGCCGTGGCCGTCCTCCGAAACCTAAACCTGATGTCGATCCAAGCAACGCGGCGGCTGTGTCAGCTCCGTCTGCTTCTCCGCCGAGGCCTCGTGGTCGTCCTCCCAAATCGAAAGATTCTCAATCGGAGCCAAAACCGAAGGCGCCGAGCAGTTCGGGAAGGCCACGTGGACGACCACCGAAGAAGCAGAAGACGGAATCAGAGACGGTAAAGGCGGAAGAAACTCCGGCGCAGCCTGAAGGAGAGCGTAGAGGTCGTGGAAGACCACCGAAAGTGAAACCAGCTATGGTGCCCGTTGGTTGTTAGACTTCTATCAAGCCTCAAAATGCTCTCTGGATTAGAAGAAGAATAATCGATAATTTAGATTATTATATCGTTTAATCGTCTAGTTTATTTTTAAAATTTTAATTTTAATTTGCTGTGTTTGGTTTATTGATTAGAGTGTTGTTGAGTAGAGAAATGTGTAGTTTCGACGTTTGCATATGTGTGATGTAAATTTGTCGGGTCTTCGACCCCTTCTCTAAAAAGTAACGGTTTGGTGAAATAATATTCTTACCTATGCAATATGTGTGGTGGTAAGTTGGTTTTGGCGTTACAAATTAGAAATGGTGGTGGCGTAACAGTAGTATCTTCTATTCTAAGAAGTTGAGTGAATATGTTGGAGAATGTGGTAACAACATTTCAGGAATTCATTGTTTTTTGAGGTTTTGTTGTTAAGGCGGGAGAGGAGGTTGAGTTTTCAAATGATTTTGGAAACATGTTTGGTCTGGTCCCCCAGTTGTATTAGTGTATTTGTGAATGAGATTGACTGACTATACAGTAAAATGACTAATGATGGTATAGGAAACCCTTTCAGGCTTTCACACTTTTGATTGTAAAGTTTGTTTTAGTTTTTGAACTCGGAAGAGACGAGAGGCCTACTAAAAATCAATTTCATGGACCTATAATGGGCCTAAGGAATACAGTGAAAACGGAAGTTGAAATTTACTTGGGCAACATGTTTGAGAGCCTCCTTATCAAAAAGGCTCTCTAGTCTCTAGCTAATATTACTCGTACATTGGTACATGTAAAGAAGCAAAACAAACACAATCCTTGAACGTACTATGGTTCACGTCTTTTTGCTTATGTTTGGTTACAGTACTGTTTAAAGCCGATTGAGTCTCAAAGATTGTTTCTACACTCGTCGACCCACCAAAACTTGCAGCATACTTTTAAGTATTTAAACAGTAATACAACTAAACATAATAGCCTCAGCCAAAAAGAAAAAAAAGAAAAAAAAAAAAGAAAAGAGAAACGACTATGCAAGTATAGAAACAATCTTGTGTATACTACAAAATTCTCAGTTTCTCACTGTTAGTTCTACCAATATAAACAGTTAAATAATAGTCAAAACTACGACAGTATGTGTGAAGTCAAATTGTAAACCTTGAACTCTTGATAATATTCCAAAGAAGAATATATATAGAAAAAGGTTTCCAAGTTCCAACTATCGATCTTTTAAGTATGAGTTTTCATAACCAGTAGTACACACCCTATCATATGTACACAAGAACCGGCATGTAATGAACAAAACCAGTGTGGGTTTGCCAGTTTGGTGGACACAGTGCAATCTCGTGAGTAACAGACGTTTCTATTTTGGAAGGGCTTGGTCAGTGGGGGACCATTAACAGAAATTTAGACAGACACAAAAGTATGTATCAAATGAGTATGAACACATCTATCTTCTGGTCTATTGGATGTGTGATATGTCCTACACATTTCACGGGTCGATCAAGAATAAGAAAGAAAAAACAACAAAACTTATAACCACTCCATGTGATTGTCATCTATATCTACTGTCTATACTCATATATACCTAATACAATATTATTTTATATAGTTCTATCTCATGCGTGCTGTTTAATTACTAAATCAATGATGTATAAGTAACACCATTTTCCAATCTATATATACTGCATGATAATTCACTTGTAAAGACAGCTAGCGATATATTCAAACTCAATCGGTCGTTTGATGTTCAAGTAATTAAGTCTTATCTGATAGTGATTTAGCTTTCAAATTATATATAACTGTAAATTTTGTCACCTTTTTTTAGATATTGAATAAGTGGCGATATAGTACATTCTCGTAAGGAGAGAACAAAACACACACTCGGATTAAAACAAAAGCAAATCGCTAATCATAATCATATCCACATAATAGAGACAAAGCATATATTTAGCTTAGAGAAGCTTTCACTTAACTTTCAAGTTTCCTTCAACACAAAGTACTGTTTAATATTAATAACTTAATTAAACCCATAATGTATTAGATATGATCAAAACAGAAACTTAATAAAAGTTAAATACACACGGTCATGGTCATGGAGCACCATTGTTGGCATAAGTGTTAACAAGGGCAAGAGCATTACTCGTCAACCTCTTGACTTCCTCGAGCCGGTCACAAACGGTCGTCTTAATCAATCCTCCTTCGTCCATATCTTCAAATCCATCCGTACACGTGTCCTCGTCCGTCAATGCTGCACTCATCCACGTCTGCACGTTACTCATCTGAAACCTAAACGTTTCCACCGACCTCTGAGCCGCTGGGACTCCGCCACGTCTGTTCATGTCGCGTAGTTGTCGGAGAGATCCTCTCATCTCGTCAACCGCGTCTTCAACGTTAGAAACGCAGTCGCGGATTACGGCGGAAGCAGTATGGTGACCATCACCGGAGTATTTAGCGGCTGAGACAACGGCGGCGGAGCGTGAGAGTTTGGATAGATAAGCCGCCGTGGATTTGGCTTGCGAAAGTGAAACGCCTATTGCGAGCTTGGCTAACCTCGCCGGACTGTCTTGAACGGCGGAGGCGTAGCCGGCGAGAGACGTGAAGCAGACGTCTGGATATAGCGTGGCGTTGCAGCTTGTCCGGATGAAATCTAGTTCGTTGGTTACTGTAGTGTTTGGTAGTGGAGGCAAACGGACGGCTGAGATTGATCGGGAAATGAAGAGAAAGGTGGTGATGAAGAGGATGAGAAACGTCGTCGTGTGGCTTTGGCTTACCATTTTCACTGTTTTTCGAAGTTTCTTCTTTTGATATTTTTCTTCTTCAATCCTTAAGATTTGAGAGGAGTGATTGGCGGGTTTATGTAGGCCTCAGGGATGGGCTCCTCATGTTACAGTTGTACCCATCCTTGTTACGTGGATTTACTAGGTTGCCACTAATCATTTTGTCTGATATATATATGATATGTGTGAAATCACGGATTATGATTTCGGTTAAAACTTTACAAGTGTATATACAATAATAATAGCCAGAGAGGGTAAGACCTATATAGTTGAGCCATGTCGTTTATAGAGAAAACTACATATACTTTTGATAGTTCCAAATTTTAATAGTTCCTTAATGGACATTGCATCACTATGCTCCCATTACAAATGTATTTCTAGATACATCTATAGAGATGGAGATAAATTAGCAATTAATGTTAAGACAAAACTGGCTAAGTTCTCAGTACTCGAATCGAATAATATAATTATGTACAAAATACAACCAATTATAAATCAAAATTGATATTGCATCATATTGATATGTAGATCGTGTATATACACAACAATGAATTTTAATTCTAGTTACTTTAGGAAATAGTTAGAAAATATATATATTTTTTTAAAAACTTTTCTTTTGCAGAGAATTATACAGTTCTAATTAACTTCGAAGTTTTTTTTTTTCAAACAAATATATAATTAACTTGGAAGTCTTACATTGGCATATTTAGGTGTTGAAGCTAGATAATGGTGGATAGAAAAATTTAATTAGGTGACAAAGAAAAAAAACCTTAATATTCTAATGAGGGGAGCCACCAACGTTGGGAGATCGAGATTCCATGGAGATTCGCCAAACTTTCTTTATTTTGCGATGGTGGGATGGTGATTTTATTTGCCGTACCAAAGTATAAATTAATATACATTAGAGAAATGTTCGATCACGCAATGGTTAAACACCATTCATCTGCAAAAATGTTGACGATCATTCTATTTAGTGCGTATATATATGATGTGAAGGTTACATATCCAAAGACGACCAAATTAATTGATTATAATGGGTACTATATGCTATCCATATTTTCATTTTTAATATAGACTAGTGATGGACCCGCACGTACGTGCGGAGTTATTTTTACAAAATTACGATTTTTAAGTATATGCTATTTTGGTAAAATTTTGTTATATGAGTTTATTTGATAAACTATATATAGACATATAGTTGTAAAATATAGATATTGTATTACATAATAAAATTTTAAAATTACAATTTTAAAATTATTTAAATGAAAATGGTAAGTGATATTACGTGTTTATTTTTTAAACTAATCAAAACATTTCTAACTGTTTGCTTAGAGATGTTAAATCGGATTTGGGTTTGATTTTAGTTTGAATTATTTTATGTGTAGTTTAGAATGGAAAACCCGTCCTGTCCCTTTCCATCTCGTCCTGACCCGTCCCGTCCCGTCCCGTCTTCTATTTGTCATAAAATTTCTGTCCCATAATCATTTCTTTTTAAAACATAATCATTTGCCAATGTGTATTATAAGAAACTTGGTAAAACATTTAGACAGGATACCCGTATTCCAAGTTTAAATATTTATTTTTATCACACTAATAAAAATCTAATTATCAATCTAAGTCACATGCTCCCACCATTTTCATTCACAAGGCATTGTCTGTAATCCTAGCATACACAATCCTTGTTCGACTTTTAATTTTATTGATATTTCAGTTTCATCTTTATTTCTCATTACTTTCTTCAATTCAAAAATTCATGTTTTAGCCTTTTTGTTTTCTAAAGATTTAGGTATTTCTATTTTTTTTAAACATGGATTTATCGTAGTTTTGTTATCCAAAGTATACGTTATCTTCTTGTACCTGTCATTTCATGTCTAAATATTTGAAATAAATAGGAAAGTGGAAATTAAATTTAGCAATTTAAATTACATGTCCCCGTATCGTACTCGTTTTATATTTGAAAGTTGAAAGTGAATTTAACTTTATTACCGTGACTCATAACAATTATATCTAATCATGTTTTGTTTTTTTATGAGAAATAATTCAGATAATGTTTGTTTCGAATTAAATTCTCCTGTCTCGTATCCATTCCTATAAGTTTATGTATTTTTTTAATAAATAACACCATTTACATGTAACTAAATATAATTTTAATATATGTAAAATTTCATATAATCGTCCAAAAGTAGAGATTTATACGTCCCAAAGTTGAATTTTGTTCAATATTTTGAGATTTTAAGAATTAAATATAACTACCAATTTTTTTTTTCAACCGGTTATCCAAAACTTATATATCATATTTGTCAAGGATAGTTTAAAATAGTACGTATATGTGAGATAATGTTTGTAGATATTTATTTATTATATCATATATATCATACCAATTTGACATTTTATTTGTTTTCAATTAGATTAAATCATTAAAAATATAATCCATTTATTATTTAAAAATTGGTAATAAGTCGTTATTTTAAATGTGATATATCCACTTGTTATTTAGTTTTAATCTTAATAGAAATTCTATATGTTTATAATCTCAAAATGTAGTTTATGATTTGATAAAAAAAATATTTAATATTTGATAATAGTAATGATATGCAAATTGCCAATGGATGAAGATTTATTTTGTTAAGATTGTGTGAAATTAATAAGAAAAAAGAAGTTTAGAATAATCATTAACTAACGGTTTGACCAAATAAAAATTATTAACTAATTGAATTAATGATAAATTTTGTAGATATCATTTGTGCTATACTTGCTAGATTGATTTTTGAATATGAATATTTTTATGTGAAAATAAGAAATTTATGTGATATAGAATGTTTATTCGCATGATTTTAGCAAACAAATATTTAATTATTGATTTAATTAAATTTTATTTATATTTTAAAATTATATAATTTTAAAAAAATTTATGATATGATCAGTTATGTATATATATTATGTAGAATTTGATTAGTTGATTATTTCATATGCTAACATATTTTTTTATCTTTTTTTCATTTTTCTAAAAAAATGTTATCTTTGTTATTTTAGATATATGATGATTTTGTTTTATTAGATTTCATTTTATATAAATTATTAATTTCGAAATTATATTAAAATTATATTAAAATATTAAATTAATAATAAATATGTTTATGTATATTCGAAATATATTTGTTTACATATATTTAGTTTTGAATTTAATTGTCCACTTTTTATGGTAAAAGATTATTATGATTTCCATAAATATAGATTGTTTTTGTTTTTTTTTTGCTGTCATTACTTCTGTTTGGCAACTGGTTTTATTTTCATGAAATTTATTTTTAAAATTGGGGGTGTTTGGCTTTAAGTTGTCCTTATCAATTAATAGTATAGATTCATTACATTAGACGGTGAAAATATCGAGGTCATCCCTTCGATTATGTATACAAATTTCATTTGTTTGAATTTCTTGGGCTCTGATAACGAATAGATGATACTTGGATATCTCATAAACCTATTGACAACAAGCAAAAGTAACCGATCGATCGTATATATATATTTCCATACCAAAAATACGGTTCGTATATTTTATTTTAGTATAGAATTGATAACGTATACGATGATAACTTAGATCTATGAAGTATAAACCCTTTGCATACTGGTTTTGGAATCCCATTATTATCATGTTTCTTGGAGATGATCAAAATTAGAAACAATTTCAGATGGGATTGGACCAACCATGCTTTTTTAGGAGAGTTATAAAACTCCACATTATGGTACTTTTCTGGAAAGCAAATACTTAAAGGATATGATGACTTACATGTATAGTGGGGAGGTAGCCGACTCATAAGTGTTATTGCCTAGTCACGCATACTAAATTACTAATCGTGTATGTATATACATAAGGTTGAATATATTTTTCAGTTGTGATGTACATAAAATAGAGACCTATTATTATTAGTTTGGGTTTTTAATTTGAATAGTGTTGGTTAAGAATGTGATGGTCTGATGGAGATGGAGGAGGTAACGACTTATGTTGTCTTCTTTTAGAAGACGGCCATTAACATTATGTGTGAGGAGGGTCCATTTTGGTTTAGTCAACTTTTCAAGATTCAAAAGCAAAATCAAATACATAATGATGGTTTTAACTTTTAATTGATTACGGACTTTAACTTTGTAGAAATTCGTGGCGAGATTGGCTCTAGCTAAATCTACACTCGATTAGTTAAATTTACCAAAAGAAAATTAGATAGGACATAAAGATAGAGCCACATGGGAACATTTTTACTCGTATCATGTAATCTTTTGTTCCAAAGGCTCTCTCTAATTAACTAACTAAACCTGTATTATTTTAGCTGACAACGTCGACCAAGTTGTATTTTGAGATCACTTCCAAACGATGTTTTAATAGGTTGATAAAAAGAATAATTAAAAGGTTAGAGGGTTTGGAAGAGAATAACATGGGATTATTAATGTTCATTTGACTAAGAAGTGAATTTGTGAGAGATCAAGTGAAAAAGTATAAGTCAGCAAAATTATTGACCAGCAGCTATATCATATCATCATATGATATGTATCCATTCCCAACGTTGGAACGCCGTGAATTATGGCAACAAAGATGATTCAATCATGCACGAGAGCTGTTTAAAAGCTGTGTGGTTAGGTTTTGACACAAAAGTTCTCATTCAATTATTACCTTTTCCCTTTTCAATTAGTCTCTTTCTCGCTTACACACTTTTTCCCCCATGGATATGTTTTATTGTCTACCATTTCAGTAAAAAAAAAACCTACCAAAAATGTTCATAAATGCAAAATGTTCACGGCAATGGTGTTTGAATATTTTTTATAAGAAGAATCGCCAAATATAGTCACCAAAACGTAAACATTGACGCACACGATGTCACGAACGAATATGATTTGTTTACTGTTACTTTTTTGGCCACACTAAAACAAAAAATCTCTCATTGATAGGCTTTATTAATGTTCTTCGATGTCGTTCGTCCATAACTCTCGTCATTCTTCGCTTGCGTAATTATGAATAGACTTTAGGCCCAACATGATATAATCCACAAAGGAATCAAGGCCTAAAGCACTGGCCCAACATGTTATAATCAACAAAGTAATCTAGGCTCAAAGCACTGGCCCAACGTGGCAACGTGCTATAATCAACAAAGTAATCTGGGCTCAAAGCACTGGGCCCAACGTGTTTAAACAACAAAGTAATCTGGGCTCAAAGCACTGGGCCCAACGTGTTATAATCACAAAGTAATCTGGGCTCGAAGCAAAGCAGCCCAAAACAAATCTCTCATCGCTATCATTCGCAGTTTCAAAGTCTGAAATTAAATATGGGCTTTAAAACGAAGCAGCCCAAATAGCTCTCGGCGAGTAAAAAAATATTCAAACAGTTGGCAAATTTGTAAGAAGTGGCGAGTGGCATTGATTCATCATCATCTGATCGGCGCTTAGAGGATAAGAAAAAAGAGCAGAGCAAATTTTAGAAGCTGATGAGACTTATGACGACGGAGGAAGAAGAAGAAGAAGAATGGCGATCACCTCACGAGGTTTTGTTGATTGTTCTTCCTTATCTTCATTCTTTGTTCGAGCTTTTCTCTATGACTCGCGTTTCGCGATCGCTCAGAGACGCTATCAGAGATGAAACCGCTTTGTGGACAGACATCGTCGTTGAACCACCTCTGAGTTCTCGTCTTACCGATGATATCCTATCGGAGATCACTTCCAAATCCGCCGGAAAGCTTAAGACTTTGACTCTCCGTCAATGTCTTAGGGTCACCGACAAGGGCCTCCGACGTGTGGTTGATGCGAATCCTCTCATCACTAAGGTAAAATTTGGATTTGATTCATGATGAAACCCTAGAGTTAGATCTATCTGGAATTGGAATTAGGATCGCGCTTGAACCTTTTACTCTCTCAGATAATTGTGCCGGGATGCTCGGGATTGACTCCAGAAGGAATCATGGAATGTGTTATAAGCTTGTCCAAGAACGATCATAAGGTGGAGACACTTCACATCAATGGCGTCAATGGCTTCACCACACAGCATCTCTCAGCACTTTTGACTTACCTTTCTTCCGAGGGAGCAATCGACCTCGAGGTCTGTCCCAAATGCGATGAAGTAAGGATGATTCCAGCTTGCTCAAGAGAATCATGTGTAAGTAAATTCTGAAGTTAGAGATAATTGGGAGCGTTTAGAGTGTTTTTAATACTACTAGTACTAATATAATGTATTTCTTGGTTGCAGAAGCGGAAGCAAACGAATGAACGCAAGTGCAGGGGATGCTGGCTTTGTATCCCTAGATGCGCAGAGTGCTCAGTTTGCCTTGGACCAGACAATGAGAGTCAAGAAGCAGCCTGTGGTAATGACGACGTTCTGTGTCTTGAATGTTGGCTTGTGCTTCCCAAGTGCAGGTTCTGTAATAAGCCTTACTGCACAAATCACAGCAGTCGTCGACATGAGATTGCAACCACTGATGCTGCGGCTCGGCCTTCGTTTGAATGTGAAGCTTGTTACTATAGGGCAGGTACAAACCCCTATGAAGTCGACTATCAAATCTAAAAACAGCACTTGTTGCCTGCAACTTTTTGTATTTTGTATTGTGATATATTCAGCGACATTCATGGAGTAAAAAGTAAAAAGAAAGAATCAAGCTTTCAACACAGGAATTAGTTACAATCATTGATGATCTTGAAGCCGAACCTACAGGCTACCCTCAATGAACTTCTTGTTAAAGAAGCTGGTCAACAAAACTGGGTAGACAGCTAGACACAGAGAGTACAAAACCACCGAGCTCTTTTTGTCTCAAGTGTTGCAAAGAAAGAAGCTAAAATTTAGAGAAACAAGAATCGAGAGTTGTTGTTCTTTCAGAGTTTCTACAAGAATACTAAGGCAACGATCAGTAGAAGGGAGAGTAATGTTAAGTCAGCGAAAGATGCGTGAGGGTGATAGTACTTTGGGATACATCCAGAGGTTGTAGAGTTCGCTGAAGGGGCCAATGCCGTGGTGTTGTTTCCAAGTGTCTGATTGCTTTTCGCACTGTAAACACAGAGAATTCGATACAAAAGAGGTGAGCTTGATTCATATGGATATTCAAAATTTTAATCCTTTGTGAGAAGAAGAAGAATAAGAATGTTACCTTCCAGGGAACACGCATGTTCCTCGACCTGCAGAGACAATCAGAAGAACACAAAGTCCATTTTCAGATACAGAGGCAATAGGTATTCACATTTGCAAAGAGGTGAACGGTAATGTTGAGAGATTCACATACTTGGATCAGTTGTAGTGACTGTAGCAACTCCCTTGAAATCACAGCTTCCTGAAGCTTTCCCCATCTTCTGGTAATAAGCATTAAACGCATAAGTAGAATGTGCAACCACATCATCGGGTTCATAACAGGACTCTCCCTGCATCAGTGCGGAGCAATCAACTTTCCCTGGACCGCAAGCCCAATCAAGAGCTGCCTGAAGCATCTTTTTATCAACCTTTTCCTTCGCTATACAAAATGTTTGATTTGTTGTATCATTTGCCAGAATTGCACCAGCACCTGCCAAACGCAAAGTGTAAACCGGAGTTCCGTTTGTATTAAACAGCCCCCAGTTCTTCTCAGATACAGGTCCTGGCCTCGAATCTTCATTGTAAAGCTCGTAGATGTAAGTAGTAACTGCAGTTCCGGGGTGTTTTGGCGTTCCAGTCTTGTTGATTACGTGCTGGATCAAATTGCTATTGTAAGTGTTTGCGTTCTCTACAGTTGCGTCGTGCTCAGACGGGCCTCCTTTAGATGGCCATCCAGATTCTGTGACCACGATTGGAATGTTGGTGAAGTTAAGATAGGACATTGCAAAATAAGCGGCATCAACGATTGCATCAAAAACATTTGTGTAATGTAACAATGTGTTAGCGTCTACAGCTTCTTTGTTGGCTTGGAGAGGCTGAAAAAGTGCGTAGTCAAGCGGTATAACTCCATTGGACTGAACATAGTCAAAATACGGATAAACGTTGAGCAGCAATGGTGATCCCGTGGACTGTAGGAATTTGAGGAGAGGAACAATAACTGGATCCCAAGTCTTGTTAAAGAAAGCCTGCGAAGGAGGGAAAGAATCAAGAATGATGGTTGAAGAGTGCGGCGTTGATACTTTGATCTGACGGTCAAGATTGGCGGTGACGAGAGCAGCTTGGATGTATTTGAGGGCTGAGACAAGGACAGAAGCTGCGTTTGGTAGGCTGGTTAGAACTTCTGATCCGACAGCGATTGTGGTAATGTTGGTTGCAGGGTAATAAGCGGCAACGTTTCTAGTGACCCAATTGGCTGCGGTTGCATTAGATTGGCTGATACCGAGAAGCTGGTCGTTTGGTACTGAGATGATAACTTGAACGCCAGTGTGAGCAAAAGCAAGAAGCATAGAGCGGTCTGCGTCGTAGAGGCGTACACGGTTGATGTTCTGTGATTTGAGGAGTGCGACTACTTGTGTTGGACTTGGCATGTTTGTCACTTCCGTGCCGATATTCACACCGATTAAAGAATCTGAAATGCATTGTTTGAAACAAACACACACACAAAATAAACATTAGCATATATATTTGACGAGACAATTCACATGATAATCCGTCAACCGGTCGGTCCAATTCTCAATAAGCATTGAAACCGAAATTGTTAATGCAAAGAGACAGTCAAAAAGAGTTTGAAAGTATGTGGAAACACAAAAGAGAAGCCATTGGCTAGTGAGCAAAAATCGGAAATGCCCTTAGAATGAACCAACTCAGAGGACAGTTTGGTCCAGTAAGATTTGCAGAGTACACTACTGGGGAGGCATATGAGCTGGGATGCAATATCTTGAGATTCTCATTCCCATTAAAAAGATTGGAATAACCCCTTATTTAAAAAAAAAAAAAAAAAAACTAAAATTTTCAATTAAAGTCTTCATCTTTTCTTGGGGAAAAGTAACGAAAGAGACCCTTAATGAAATGAAGAAATACCCAGAATCATCTAAAAATTAGAAGAAAAAAAAAGAGAACTCATCTATAGTTGTTAACAAAGACTTACAAACATAATTTTCTAATGAGTGACCTTAAACAGACAATGTATAAACAAAGAGAGATCCCTCCAGGGAAAGAACACAAAGAAACAGACAAACTTAAAACCACTAAATTTTTCAACCAAAAAAAAAGAAGTAAAACTTAACCACTAAAGTAGAAGAAGATCCTAAGTGAGAGTGAGAGAAGAAAACATAGAAAAAAAATCAACAGATTTGTTAATTAATCAAGAAAATGAGTTGCTTTGAGTTGATTTTTTTTGAAGAATCAAAAAGAGAGAAAATTTGTATTACCTTGGGAGAGAGCAGAACTTGCAAAGAGGAAAAGGAAAAGGAGAAGAAGGGCAGCCATTGAAGGAGCTTCAAATCTTGGGTTTGGGAGATGCTTTTGATTTTTAGCTTCTGAAGCATAAAGACAAGACAGGGTCTCGAGGTTCTCTGAAGTAACCCACGAGAACAAAATCCAACCAAGACAAATAAAAAATATATAGTTTTATTAACAATAGGTGAGAAAATTAAGAATCAGTTCACTTCAAAAGATTTATATATAACTGAAGTCTAAAGCTTAAAGGTGTGGGTTTCTATTTTTATTTTATTTTTGCTGAAAAAGATGTATCGTACCACTAAAATAATTTATTCGGTGGAGAAAAAGAAGTTTTTATTTTCGTTTTATACTAGTAGTAGTTTACCTTTTAATAAATTTTCTAGGATTCTTTTTTTTTTTTTTTTCAGTTTTTTGTTTCTCTACAAAATTTATGATAAATATATTGTGTTTGTTGTGTGTTTAATTGTCTTCTGTCACAGTTGATTTGATTCAGTTCAACGGTCATCTTTGCATTTATAAAGAATTGGTTTTTTTTTTTTTTGAGTCTCGACTATTTATATACCACACGAGTAATCATTTATTTTCTGTTCTTTTTGGCAATTAGTATTTTTCTGGTTTTTTCTATAAAGAATTTTTATGAGAGATTCCTTAATTATTTACAGGCTGGATTTTTTATTTGCTGCTTTTGTCAGTCTTTTTGTTGCTTATCTTTTCTCTTTCTTTATTTTTTCTTTGTTATTTTCTTCTTGCCATTTTGGGTCTACAATAAGGTTCGTATCTCTAAAAATATTACTTGAATACATCGTCATTGTTGATCGATAAACCAAATAAAATAGAGTATCTAATAATAATTTATTCACTCGACCTCGATTATAAATACTGTATTTGTTAGTCTTTCAAATCCATTTTTTTGGGGCAAAATTCAAAGCCCAATGTTACGAGGAATTTTCCCCATAACATAAACAATGATCGCATTATTGTGTGCTTTTACTTTGGGCTCTTAATGGGTCTATAGAGGCCCAATAGTACTGTTATTAATTTTACTTTGCGGGTCGGGTCATAAGATCCGAATTTACTACTGGACATTCAAAAATTTCATTCTCTTGTTCAAATCTAAAACCCTAATAAAACTTAGTTCGATCAGCTTTCGCCATTAACTAGAGTTTGAGGTCGTTGAAGAAGATTTAAACAAATTATGGGCAAACCGAGCAAAGGGTGCAAACTTCTTCTCTTGTTCGAACGATTATTCATCTGAGCTCAGTTTTTTTCTTTTTTTTTTTGGTAATGATTTTGTATTTGAGATTTGATTTTCTGACGTTATTTTTCACTTTCAGATCGGAGTTGACTACGAAATCTGATAAGAAACTCGATAAAAAGCTTCAATTTTACACAAGTAAGCTCCGATTTTCTTAAATTCGAAATTTTGTTCTCCAAATTGCAATGTGTCTGAAACTTTGTATGTGAATGCAGAGGTCAAAGACACAGTTACTTCTTTGTCTGTCCAAAAGGACATTGGCAAGGTAATCACTTCCTCTATGATTATGTTTCCCATTAGAGAAAGTTGCAATCTTTCTTAGAGATTGTTAAGAATGTTGCTATTCTGCAGTTTTAGTTCGTTTGTTTAGTAGCTTGCAGGACTTTTGAAAATGAGCTTACTTCTACTAAAGAGCTTGTTGGAAAATTTGAAAGCTTTGAACAATTTTTTATATATGTGATTTGCTAATTAGGCTAAACTGTTAATTATGGTTTGATCAGAAGAAGAAAATCCGCAGCCGACAAAAGAAACTAAAGGCATATGATCTGTCCAACCTCTCGGAGTTTCTTCCCGAGTTCAATGCTTTGCAGAAATCAGCTCTTCCTGCACCTGACTTGAAGATGAATTGCAAAAGGCGACAAAAGCTTGTGTAAGTCTTCATTTCCTTTGCGGTTTAGCTTTCTTTTGTTGTGAATTGTATTTGAAAGGATTGTGTTGTGTGTGTAGATTGACGGAAGGGGAAAGATTGAACAAGGTTCTAGACCATCCAGCTTTTCAAGCTGATCCAGTTGGTTCAATATTTCAGCATTTGCAGAGTCAACAGCCACCGGTGGAAGAGCAGCCGAAAAAGAAGACTAACATAAACGGGAGCAAGAAAAGGAATCGGAGAAAGGGGAAGGCTGAATCCATGGACTTCTGATCCTGTCCTTTAAGTTGCTTATGTTTTGTTTTGTTGTTTTGTTATAGTAGTAACAAAATACATGACTTTGGTCCTTGGACGTGATGAATCTTCAAATCTGATTGTTATTATTGTGCAAACTACACAATTTTTCGATAACATGTGCTCGAATCACAAACACAAAATCATCACCACACCTTAAAAATAGAGAAACCTAAATATATTTTTTTTTACGGTTCAAATCAAATCTTCTGTGGAATATAAATGATCATGAGAGTGGTTCACTGATCTCCAAGAGCTCATTGCAGAGACCTGTGTAGACGAGAGAGTCAGTTTCAATTGGTCTGAACTTGATCAGCGCTGACGGAACAAGTTCTTCGTCCTCTAAGGTTATTGGTTTCTGTCCCGGGGGTGGAGTATGCGGAATTACACGCCGTTTAACCAGCACAGGATCCAGAAGCTCGAATTGCAAACTTGGTTCTTTCAATGCAGAGCTCACAAACTGAGAAAAAAAAAACCAAAAACCATATAAAAATTTCAAAACTTTTCGTCTAAAAAAGAGTAAAAACCAAAATGGTGCGTGGCAATTAAAGAGATAATCATATTAACCTCATAGAGAGCAATGGTTGGTTCCCATGGAGCAAATACACCTTGAAGCACAACTCCGTCGGGAAACTGCACTCTGATCATACTTCTTTTATATCTTTTTCTAGCAGCTTTCGCTTGTTTCTCCTTATAAGATCTGGGAATCAAAAGCTGAGATTCCGCAATCTTTTTCCTCCGTAAATCCGCTTCTCTCTTGATTTCATCGGCCGAGAGACTATAGAACGAATCAGGTACCTCTATTCTCGATGCTACGTTTTCAGAAACCGAGAAAAAGACACGAATCTGAACCAAGAAACAAAAGAAAAACACTCTCAGCACAATTCACAAGCTAAATACAGATTCTGTTACAATCTAAAGACCTTAATGACTCAACAATTCTCATAACCAAAAATGTGATTAAGCATATATAGAACTTGTACCTCTCTATCAATCTTCTTCGGAGCCACTGGTTCCATAACCTGAGCTGAAGATCCTGACTTCTCATCATCTTTTCTAGGCATCTCAATCTTTCTGTTTTCTAAAAATCCAACAACTTTATTGATCAATTTGGATTGTTCTTCTCCGGGAACTTCCATAACAGCCCAAATCTCATCATTCTCCTCTTTCAACTCAAATCCAACCAACTCAAGAAGCTCAACACCTCCGGCAACATCACCAATAGCTTCTTTAATCTTAGCATTGCTCATTCTAATCTTTCTAAACTTAGCATTCTCAGGTTCTTTAACTATGTTCTTAAACAACCTAAGCAAAACATCAATCGAGCTCTCACTTGGCTTCCCAGAGAGATACACAACCACAAGTTTCTCGATTTCGGATATATCATTATCATTATCATCCTTCTCAAGTGAAGATTCTTCTCCATTAGTGTTCCCAAGACAGCTCTCGACATGAACAGAGACTTCTTCCTCTGACGTGAATGGATTTTTACAGATCGGACACTCGAACATATTCAGAGAATATCCGTTCTGAGATCTGTTCGAAGTCGTTATAAAAGCACCGTACGGGTCGAATCCGTCCTGTGGAGGAGCACGAACCGGGTCAGGATCCGGGTTTCTCGTAGACCCACTAATCTTCTGATCAGAGGATATGGGTTTGTCAGGCAACGGCGTTGAAGTCGGATTCGGATTGGGTTTGGGTCTAGGAGTCGGATTTGGAGCTTGGGAAGAGTTAAACCGGTTATGAATCGGGTTAACGGGTGCGGATGCAGGTGCAGAGGAAGAAGAAGATCCGAGAACTCTACCTTGGCCTTTGAATTTGCCAGAGGAAGAAGATAAATTGACTTTTTTCATGAATCCCTTTAGCTTATCTTTAACGTCATCCATCTTCTTCTTCTCCGTTGTAATCTTCAAGCTAAAAGCTACAAATCAGAGAATGGTCTTGTTCTCCTGCGTCGAAGACTTTTTTTGTGTTCTGTTTTTTTTTCTGCTTCCCTTCGTATTTAAGGCTGCCGCATAATTCTGATTGATGGGCCGTATTGGGCTAAACATTGTGATTATAAAATACATATTTGCTAAAGCCTTAATAAAATTACTATAATACCAATTATATGTTTCTTTTGGGTCATCGCATATCGGCCCAAGGAAAGCATTGGCACTAATTTGATTTAAATTTTGTAACATTCTTTATAAACTTTACAAATGTATTACATTGAGAAAATTGCTCGACTCCTCGTGCATTATTATGAATGCTAGTTATGGATGATGTTAATGATAAACACCGTTTCCTCGAATCCCAATTTCCAGTGAAATGATTTTAGTCTAGTGGCAAATGATAAATCTAGTGGCAAATGATAAATCTACTGATAAACATGCATCATCACATGAGGGATCGAGTCCCGCTTCTTATATATTTGTAAGGATTAGGCTAATAAGCCGGTCAGTTGTGGCCCAATGTTGACAAAAAAATTCTCGATTTCTAAAGATAGTGAGGTTTTTATGATTCCATCTGTTTCATTCAAATCAGACAGATGACAATTTTACTTAACAACTCCAATCAAATCATTCAAAGTTAGTGAGGCTATATCTAGTTTCAAATTTTTTCTAAGAAAAATCACTTTCATTAAAAGCTTTGCTTTCACATATCCATTTTTAACTCCATGCAATTAGAACTTAGGAGATATAATTGATGATAGAGAGTGTATCACGTAAGCCGATTGTTCCACCAATTATGCTTTTATTTGTTCCCCTACTTTTGTGTGAAACATAATGATATAGATTTGAACGCTTTATAAAGTTGTATTACTAAATATTCATATCTTATAGTATGCTATGACTATGATTAGAATCTGACTCAATCAACTATACCTAACCATTTGACATTGTATTTTATGGGATGCGAGAACTCGTTGTGATGGGTTACGATTATATATGAATGCGCAGATATAGTTAGTTCGCCCATGGTTGAGATTCATACTACAGAAATATACGTTTTTGCAGATATAGTTAGTTCGCCCATGGTTGAGATTCATACTACAGAAACATACATTTTTGTGTTATGATCATCCGTAACATATATAACAACATTAAACCATTTTTGATCGAAAACGTTTAAGTGATTATTATGTTAATCAGAATTATATATAAGAAAAAAACATGCACCACTACTTTAGAATGTATCTCTTACAAATTTAAACGACGTGAGTACTTTCTATACATTTGAAAAATAGTAAAAACATAAATTAAAGTGAGTCAAAAAAGAAACATTCTTTAGGGTTTTTCTTTTTTAGTGGAGAATATTAAAGAATCTCTTCGCTTTTTCTTTCCCCTTTTACGCATTTTAATTCTTTTTTCTTGATGATATTACGAGTCAATAAGCTAAAGTCGACATTTTATTTCCCACCTGTTATATTGAAAAAGGCATTAATAGAGGATATTATAAAAAAAAAAACATCGGGTCCATTACAACAAATTAATCCGTTAAATCATAAGTATATGTTTTGATTGTAATGATAATGTTCGATTAATTATAAGATAATAAAGTGATTTGACACAAAGATGAGTTAGTAGAATGGGGATGGATGGGTCAGTTTACTTACCTTTACCTCTCTCGCACGATTTTGCCATAAAAGAGAGAAATACAACGAGTAACGTAACTCCAGCAATTAACCCAACTATGATTGCTAGCGTCTTCTCTATCTCATCGTCATCATTGTTACGTCCCCCACCTAATTACCAATAGGTAAATGATAAAAAAACAAATTAAACCATTTTAACAACACAATTATCTTATTTTTCCATACATAAAAATGATAAATTCTATGCTGAGCAGGTGGAGAAAAATATTGTCTCTCATGGGCTAATCTTGTTATTGTTGACAAAAAAAAGAATGGTGGAGAAAAATAAATAAATAACAGTTAATTAACTAATTATTAGATTAAAAACAAATAAAAAAAGAACCTTAAAAGAGAAGAAACAAAAGCAACGGAGCAAAAGAAGAAGGCATTACCGTAGCCGTTGGCTCGAGAGTGACCTCCACGTTCCGAGTAACGCGCGTAGCATTTGGCTAAGTACACGTCACCCCAAGCGGCTCCTCCACAATCCGATCTCAGCCGTCCGATCGCCTCCATCAAACAGTCTTGACACTCGGTCGCACTGAGATCTCCGGTGCACTGCGCCACGCCTTGCAACTCCCCCGACACTCCTACTCTGTATGAACCACCGCTACTCGCCGCTAAATAACCCACCACGGAGTCTCTCCGAGTAAGCTCGTCCGAGTTATAACCAACCGGTGGTCCGCACCGTCTAACCACCACCGTCTTGTCTTCCACGCCAAGGAACGTCGAGTTGTCGTATTTCACGAAACAGCCTTCGAGCTGCAACGCGCCACCGGACGCCATGGCGCAGAGACTCCCTAGCCGGCTAACGGCTCTCGCTATGCATCTTCCGCAATCGCCGGAGGCTGAGGAGAGATCACCGCGGCACTGGTACAACCCGTAGACGAAGGAGCTGTCTCCGGAGATCCCGTTGACGGTGAAGTTGTTGTATGTGTAGAGAGAAGCTGAGCTAACGAAGGAGGTGAGCAGTGAGTTTACGTTAGACTCGTAAGGAGAACCCGGGAAGTACTTCGCTTGAGAGCAGCCACCGTAGACGAAAGTATCGATGGCTGCAGACGAGAATGTTACGAGAAGTGACACGACGGCGATAAAGAGAAGTGTTTTTGTCGGGAACATGACTTTCACCTATTGCTCTTTTTGTTTTGGTTTGTGTATCCCCGTGTAACTATGCTATGGTCTCATCGTGATTCGAGAATATATGAGAACGTACCAACTTTTTTTTATGCTTTGGTGCATTATTATATATAATATTGTTTTTTTATATATATATATATAAAGATTAGACGTTGGCGTTGGTGCGTTATTATATGGTATGCAACACTTCTAGTTCTGAGTATAGTACATTATGTTTTTTTTTAATCATCTGTTTATGGTTTGCTAATTGAGAGCTACCTGTACTGTAAATGGACTTTACAATTGCTAATGTAGTCATACGCTGATTATTTTTGTATTAAGTTATACGATCATCTATGGACAACTGGAATGCATTCTCGAATTAAGGTGACTTTTGCTAAGTGAACATATTTAACAGAGATTGTAACCGTTGTCGTTTGATTATTAATAGAATAATATTCTTTATTGTTTGTTTTCTTACTTCTTATTCATAATGTCTTTTAAAACACTTTTTTTTGTCACTGAAACGAAGTCGTAAGTTTTTTATATATATAATTTGCAGAGTATTACATACAACATGTTAACCCTTTGTTTTGTTGTGTGTATGACCTGATTCTATGTCGTAACCAACCTGAATTGAAGAATATTTTTTGTAATATTAGAAGTTATCTTATGAGGATGCATCTTCAGCCTACGAGACGAAATGAAGCTGTGGAGATAAAATCTTTGTTCAAGTTTCTTACGAAAATATTATAATGTTGAAATTAATAAAATATATATTTTCCTTTATTTTCGTATATTAGCCATCCAAAGTTAAATGAGCAGTGGACTCCTATAATAATACCAAAAAATCGACCAACCAGTAACATTCACCTATTACCAATATGTAAAAATACGAACAAACATAAAATACAAGAAAAACAAGATTAAAAATATGAATAACTTTTGTAAATTTTTCAAGACGGAAATTTTACCAAAAACTTAAAAATTATTGAAATTTATTTGATATATAGCATTCCACGCAAGCTCGGGTCAATCGCATAATTCTTTATTGTTTGTTTTCTTACTTCTTATTCAATGTCTTTTAAACAAACTTGTATTATCATTAGTGAGCTAAGATTCATCATTCATGGATTGTTTATTGCATGCATCTTATATATAGTTTATATAGTATTTTTTGAAGTTATAGATACAACTTTACTTGTGACTAAAAATAAAAATAAATAACCATGTTACTTAGATTTTTTTTTGCTTAATTCTATGTGGAAAAACTCTTAAGACATTCTAATTTAAAATAAAAGGGTTAGAAAATTTTCTTGAAGAAGGGAGTAGTTGCTCTTTCTAGAATGTGGTTACTTCTCTTTTTCCTTATGTGGTCAGTGCCTGAACCTGTTAGTAGTGCAATATTGATTGCAATAAGTAAAAAAAGTCAAAACTATAACGCTCATAATGAAAGACTTGGGAGTTGAAACACGTAAAGAGAGCATCTATAACTCTCCATCTTTATCTTTTGGTAAATCGGTTCTACTGCTTCAAAATTAGTGTCCAATAAAAGATGATTAAAATGAGACTTTCTTTTTCTTGAGAAAGTACTGATCCATACTAGTTTTTACACCAATATAAACTCATCTTGACTTTGATCTTCAAACTAGAACTATGACTAGTTCAACTGTTTTCACCATGTTTATTATAGTTGTGGTGTTTTCGATTCAATCCATGTTGAAACTTACAGTGTTCATTGCCGCACTAAGACAACTTCATCTGGTAATACGATGTCTCCGTACCCCCATAAGAACAAATCATATAGCTTATCTTATTATCCAAGATTCCAATACAATTTTTGCTTTTTTCTCAAAGATTTAAACTAGCTCCAAATTTACAATGGTTTCATCTACTTCTTTTCTTGGTCATCAATGTAACAATGTTAAAGATACCTAACTCTTTCAAACGACCTTGAATATTATCATCTTAACATATGATCCATAATTCAAAAGTTACAATCAGAATTAAGAATCAAAGGAATCAATATAGGCCCAAATTAAGTTACGGGCTTCAACTCAACCAACCCAAATGGAGCTGATCACGGACTCACGACGGCATGCACAGCTCAAACTCTTTTTATTCTACTCAATTGATCAAATATATAAATAAAGCTTTAACGAACAGATCACACAGATAAATAAATATACAAATTCAACAATCTATATTTTAAGCATATATAATTGATAGAAACTCTTTGTCAATCACTGGATCAAAGAGGCTTCCACAAATATGGATTTAAGTTTGAACATTTCAGACATGCACCATATACATATTGATATTGTCTTTGTTTTTTTGGTTACAGATTCAATTTTTTTTTTTTTTAATAAAAAAGAAAGAAAACGACCTTGTTATGATCTTGTATTGATAATAATTAGTATTCTTATATAATTTTTTTTGAATGCAATGTTAAATTATATTCAAAAGAAAAAATAAACGTTTTTACATCAAGTGCATCGTTTTTGAACTAAAAATTCGAAAAGATTAAGAATAGACGACAAAATTATGTTCTACTTTGAAGCCACAGTTGGAAGCCCGCTGCATACCGGAGATCCCCCATTTTCCGAAGTGAAGAAAGTTGATTTCGAACTTGTTTATCGATCCTTTTCGTGAGCAGAGGTGGTGGTATTGGTTGGTTGGTGACAATGAATAGGTAGCTGGGAAAAAAAAACAAGTTTACTCACAATGTGAACCAAAATTTTCCAAAAAGATAAAGCCAATTTTGATGATGATGAGTTGATGACTCATCAACATTATTTTTATCTTTTCATAATAAATTTTGAAAATGACATTTTTTTCTCTTCTTTTCATATATAGTAATATTATGATATATGGTTGGAGTAACTTATTAATTCATGCTTTGTTTTCGTAATCAATCATATCACGACACGTACTCACCTACTTGCATAATTTAATAAGCACAAAGCATGAAAGCTGAAACCAAATGTCTCCATTGCATTATTCAAGAGAGAGATAGAGAGGAAACAATAAACAAGAGGGAAACACAATTGTACAGTTTTTGCTTGCACTCTAAGTTTTTTAATCTTCTTCCCTCTCTTAAAACAAACCCTTAAGAAGTTCTTGCAGAAACATTATAAACACAAACACACAAGACTTCTTAAAACCACATGATGTTAAAACTTACTCCATAACCTAAAACTCTAACATCTCTGTCTTTTAATCCTGCTCTGTATCTTCTTTTCGAATCGATTTTTTCGGCTGTCTCAATAACTAATTGAAACCCATCTATCTTATACCTATAGAGGATCCATTAGTTCATAAATTCCCATCACAAAATTCAGCAATCATTACTTCCATCAGCACATTGTTTCAATAGAGATTGAAATAGTCTTCTCTTCCTTTGGTTGTTGATTCATTGGTGATGAGAGTCTCTCAACCAAAACATCTAATGCTTCTTTCATCCACCAATCTCTACAAGCTTCTCTTGCTTCGGTTACATTCATCTGTAATCCCCAGAACAAAGTCACATGAATCAGTACAAAAGCTCTCCTAAGATCTGTTTTTAAAAAATACTCAGAAACAAAACAAAGATTAGTGTTTAGCAACTGACCCAGATTCTTTGTCTAACATGTTGTTCAGGCCAAAGCTCAAGTTGTTCTGTAACAAGCATAGGGAACATGAGTCCTTCATAGTATGTTCCTCTGCTTTTGCTTAAAAAATCCCATTTTCCAAGTTGATGCTGCCAATAATCAAAACAAAAAATGAAATTAAGAACAGAACAAAACAACAAATATTAAACAAAACAAGGAAAAAAACAAGAATTTAAACAAGGAAAAAATACCTCAATGTTGCCAAGAACTCCAGCTTCTTCACGACATTCTCTTGAAGCAGCTTCTTCTACAGATTCATCAAGCTCCCAACCACCCTATAATATTCATTTCAAAAATTTACCACAATTAATAAACCTCAAATAAAATTCTTGGGTTAACATTAAAATCACAAACTTTTTAATTTTATTTTTTTTGGTTATACCTTAGGGAACATCAAGGCGTGACCTTTCTGCGAAGAGATGACAAGAACTTCTACTTCGTCACTAATTTTACCATCGTTAGATAGCTTGAATCTGTAAGGCACACATCTGCAACAGAAGAAAAAAAAAAACTAAATTTTAGAAAACTCAAGAAACCTTTAATTTGGGTTTAAAAAGTATGTAGATCTAATTCTATGCATGTATTGTATTTGTAAATATAAAGATGAGGAACATACCCAACGACTTGACGACGACCTTTGTTGTATCTCTGAAACTGACGACCCGTGCGAGAAGCCAAACACACCATTTTCTCAACACCCATTTTTTTTTTATAGATTATTAGCTTATCAAGATTTTCAAGAACCCTAAATCTTTTTTCAGAATATAAAGAAAGGAAGAGGATGATTTATAAAAAAGAAAAGAAAGAAAGATAAGTGTAACAACAACTAAAACGGATCAGAATCTGTCGAAACTAAGAAGAACCCACGAATCTATTGGTCGGTTAAAGAGATGGAAAAGTTTTGGTTTTTGTTTCTCTGCTTTTAAGTGTTTATGATTCGATTCGTTACGCCTGAAAAGATTTGAGAGAGAGAGATGGAAGAAGAAGAAGGAGAGAGAGATGAGACAAAAAAAGCGTTGTTTCAACCTCCAATTGCTTATCTTCTTTATATAAAAAAACGGCCGCTCCTTTTTTTTTTTTTTTAATTATTTTCTTACCAAAAAAAAACGATTAGTGAATAGTAATATTTTTATTTATTTTCTTGGAATTGTCTTCATTGGTCGAGAAGCTCTAAGTTAAGCCTAATGTTGGTATTTTTTGGAAAATATATGTTAATTTTGAAGTACCATATTTAATCCTAAAGTCTATATTTATCACTTCTCTATCATATCCATTTTTAGTTAATTTATGTTTATATTGTTGACATACTGTATGTTTCTTTAAAAAACAAAACTTTTTTTCAATGATCTCATCTTAAACCCTTTATTACATCATTATTCATCAGGATATCATTTAATTTTACACATGATAATTTCATTGGAAGGTTCTAATATAATCATCCACTTTTGAAAACAAAAACTTAAGATTAACAATTTTAGTGTTTTATTATATACTCATAAAAACAAATATCTAGTCTTGTAGTTACCGACCTTTTTAAAGCAATTTCGATCCTACCAATTCACGTTATGTATCTCACATATTAAAGATTTATTATGGTTGAGACTATATCAATAATAAAAAAGTGTTTTATATACTCAAAAATTCTAGTTAAAATCAATGTTTTTTTTCTTCCTCGAGAAATCCAAATATAAAATGCTTTAAATGTCTTCGTATATATAAATTACATATTACATTGTATAAATTTGTAAAATTTCTATGCATGTAGTGAAAGTAGGCCCGAGCAACAAGTGTTCGATATTAAATGAGGACAAACCAACCAAACTTTTAGATTATAAGTTTAAAAACACTTCATATTGCAAGTGTGGGGCAAATGTTTTCGTATCATTTAACTTAACGACATATTTGCGTGCATCATTACATTTTAACAATTTTTAATACTCCATAGAATAATACAACGAGTTGATATATGAAAGATATAAAAATGTAATAACTAGTACAAACTCAATTTGAATAAACAGATCGAGCTAGGAACGGTACATTTACTACTCATCATGGTTTTAGAAGTTGTTAGCCACAAAGACCCGATGTTTTTCAAACTTTCTTTTGCCATTAGCTGATTACGTGCAAAATTTACATGGTAGTGTAGATTTCAACATTATACGCCCGGTTATATAAATTTGTAATAATATGGGTAGGTCAACCAAGATTAAGAAGTAAGAGAATTAAGATTAAGGCATTATATATTGTATATATAAGCCAATAATTCAAAAGCAATGAATAATTGGAGGCTGTCCCTGTCGAAGTGTCTAAGAGGTTTCTCTGTCGTTTCGTGGTCGATCTTGGTTTTGTAGGTTTAATTGGTTAGTAACGAGAGCCATTAGGTTACCAATTAAACACGTAAAAATAATAGAAACGTAGTTAAAAAACAAACAAAAGTTTAGTCTCTATCCTTACGCGGCACGTTTATGTTGACTATGGAAGAGACATGGTCACGTGCGTCGACCCCTAGCTCCTCCTCATCCTACTATCCTATGTGCTCGTCTCGATCAAGTGCGTGTTTGAATCGCAGTTTAGTGGACGCGGTCTACGTTTGATGTATGTTCGATTCGATGTATCTTACGTTCTTTCTCTATCTTTTCTTACCATGACTGGTGATGCAGTCGTTACTTACTTATATTTACTAAGTAATCCGATCTTTATATTCAATATAAAGCTGCTATTGCATAATGCGTGGTTTGGACCATTTTCTTAACTCGAGAAGATTCATAATTTTTTATTTGCTCCTTATTATATACCAACCTCATGGGTCGAATATAACTATTTTTTTTTTTTTTGTTTGCTTGCGATATATATAGTGTCCATGCATGGAACATACAATACGGCACCAAAATTGGACCTACCTATGCCTTTGTTTTTTTTTTTTTTTTTTATATATAAATGTAAATATCATAAAATGAAAGTTTTAGGGATTACAAATAGTAGAGCCTAGAGCTTTGAAAGTCCTATGCCTTTATTTAATTAGCTCACTTAACCTTATAAAACCTAAACGACTTATAGCTTAACCTCGATCATTATTTCAATATTAATACGTCAAAACGACATTTTCTTGTAAACATAGAGAATATTAAACAAGATTGTAGAAAAAAACGAAAAGAAACAATCTTGAGGATTAATGAGTAGGTAGTAACATGGACATATAAGCTAAATGCACCATAAAGGTTCAATGAATATTGCTAGCTAAAACTATTAATATAAGTTAGACTTTGTATATATCGAATACGAAATCTTCCTGCAAAATATTTTATGGTACATTGTTTTAATGCTTCAACCATAAGTATTTAATTTTTAGCCACCGATTTAGAATCTTTCCCCTTTAGTACCCCTAAAAGGATTTTATTTCACCACCACATATGATTTAATGACTTTAAGTCTCGTAATAACGCATGCATCATGGTTCTTGTGTTCTATACTACTAATAATAATTTTAAAAAAAAAAATCCAAGTCTCTCTTTATAATGTTTATTGAGATTGTTCATTATTTCTATAACAATATGTTTTCACAATCTGGCTATATGTGTAATACTACGAAATGCAAGTAAACGAGATCCCCACTTGACTTGGTGATGGATATAACTAAAACCAAAGCTAAAAGTGTTATACTATTCAAAACGTTAAAGCTATATATATATATATATATGCGAAAATTCTAATATGCCAAATCCAAAACGCACGCCAAAATATTTTGGTAGCTGATTATATTTGTGTTATCTACAAAACTATGTGAACATGATCAAATTCGAAGCTACTTCTCTGGATAGATTATCACGACAACAACAAAATAAAATGGAATAGTAGAATTGGTCAGAGATGACAGAGAGATACGTACCGCCGCACAATGATGTTTCTCTCAACCACAAAGACACTCGCTTACAAATTACATGGACAGGAAAGAGTCTTAATAATCATTAACCAATGATCATTATTTGATCCTCAAATAATCATATTCTCATTTTTCCCTACTATATTTGGATTCCACGCGACTTTGTTACAAACACATTTGTTTAATTGGAATAGAAAAGTATAATCAGAAAAATTATTATCATTGGCTGAAATTATGGATATGAACATATTTTCCGAAAAATTAGGATATGGACACGACCACGAGGGTATCATGGGATCATAGATCAATGATAAATGGTATTCTTATTTTATTTATTAGTTTTTTTAGTTTATTGTTTTTCTAATTTTAGGTGATTCGAATCTCCTCCACACCGAACTAAAATATGTGAAGTTCTTATTGTTTTCGAAATAACTAAATCAACACAATAATTATTTTTTTTTTTGCTATGAACCGATCGACAAAATAACCCTATAATTATATTTTCATATGTTTAGTTTTTAAGTAAATATTTTTGCTATATCTTAATTATCTTTACTTTTCATTAGAGTAACTTTTCGATAATAAAATATCTAGCCACATAGAAGAATAATAATCTTAAATTAGCACATTTGATATACTCGTTAACTGTGTTAATTTCTTAAATCGATAATAACTTCTTTTTTTTTTCATCTTCTAGAAATATTGTCGCATTTTCTAGAAAAAAAGCTTACGATTAAAGACTTGCTTAAGACTTTTGCCCATTTAAGTATTTTCTTCCAGAATCCACATTAAAAATATGAAAGACTTTTTAGGATTCCATCTAAAATTATAAAACGAGAAAAAAAGAAAAAGAAAAAGTGTCTTTCTAGAATTAAATTTGAAATTTAGCTGTTTCACGAACATCGATTTTAATCAAGTGTTGAGAAGTAGACTGAGAAGAATATAGAAATCTTCTAAAATGTATGAAAATATATAATATTTGAAACTCAAAAAAACCTAAACCTAACCCCTCAATATATTACTGTTCCATTATAAAAACAAAATCTGAAAACGACATCTAGTTAAAAGTCTATATTTAAACAGTTATATATTCACATGAAATGAAAAAAGGACGTAGAAAAATTGGTTACATACATTACATAGGGTTTAAAAATGATTAACCATTCTTTTTCGGTTGGTCGTTCTTTACTGGATTTATTGTCTTAACCACTACAAAGTTATATATATATATCCCTCAATCAGCTGTAGATTTGAGACCTTAGTTTGAAATTTAGGTTTAAACTTTTATCATGTACAGTATTAAAAATGTTAAGCAAAAATATTGGTGAGAAGATATTGTTAATAGTAAAATGTAGAACACCACAGTCTTAACATATATTTAAGAAAAAGAAGAAAAAAAGAGAAAGAAGATGTCGGCATCAGAGGAAGACCGGAGCAAGTCGTGAGAGTTGAAATGGTCGGACACCACATGCTCTCTCTCTCTCTCTCTCTCTCTCTCTCTCTCTCTCTCTCTCTCTCTCTCTCTCTCTCTCTCTCTCTCTCTCTCTCTCTCCCTCTCTAATAATACATTTTCATGCAAAGTTATCAAACTCTCTCTAATAATATATACTAGCTTCTTTTTTTTTTCTTTCATTTTCATATAAAAAAAGTCTGATTAACATATTGTATGATTGTTATAAAAAAATTAATGTAATTTTAATAGGAGTAGGTTAGTCTTAATTCTTAAATGAGTGAAAATACTATTTGGTTTTTTTTGTTTTGTGTGTTTGAAAACCAGGATATTCCAAATAAGGTTCTATAATATTCTTCGGAGTATGTACAAAAGACAAGTTTTCTTAGAGCATCCTCATTGCAAGGGTTGTTGCACAAATCTTAAGGTAAGATTTGTGAAGAAAAAAACTTATATAAGGATTTTTCTTCACAAATCTTAAGGTAAGATTTGTGCAAGAACCCTTGCAATGAGGATGACCTTACAATTTAGAACGTATGTACTAGCCACTTGGCTACTAGCTATGATTGAAACGAAGACCAATCCAACAACATTTTTGTGGTCCAAAACAAATTTGTACATTGCTACCATCTCATTTACCTATATATATTTTAGTCATGATTAGAATTAGTAAGAA